CTGAGGCTTTTCCCTGAGTCATGTATTTACTGGAAAGGCTACCTAGAGGAGGGGAGAAAACAAAACCCAACATAAATAAAACAAGCCTCACTTCATTGCAAAAGCCACAAAATAGCTTCTTATTGTTAATTATCAAAGAAACTTTTCATACTGGAATTGGTCACTTGTCTTGAATTAAGTAATTAGGCTAGATATAAAAAAGCATATAGTACATGAAACATGATCTATTAAACATAAGCTTAGTCAAAATTCTTTCTAAATGCAGACAAGTTGCTAGAGTGACATCATTTTAATACATTTCCATGTTCACTATTTCCATATTGGTGCAGGTGAACTTTTCAAAGGCTCTACTTTTGAAGATTAGTGTCTTCATTTGCAACTGAATATAATAAACTGCAGAGAATTCTTTGGTCAAAAATAAATATGCTGCCTCATTACTCTGCAGACATGAAGCTGTGAATGATGACATTGTAGCAATAACTTATTGATATAAAAAGAAAAAAGTAAATTTATTATATTTACAGGTGAAGGACAGAAATGAGAATTACTAATTAAAACCATATCAAAGAACAGTTAATAATTTTTGTTCTGGAGTCTAAACAAATAGATCAATGAAACAAGAAAACTGAGAAATTCTTAAATGATTATGTATAAGAAAATGGTATATAACAAAGGTTGCATTTCAAACCAATGGGGGAAAGTACGGATTGTTCAAGAACTGGTATTGTGTCAAATAAGTGATTTTGCGGGGTAAGGAGGAATTACCCCCCAAATGAATTACAAATTCCAAATGAATTACAAAATTAAATATAAGAGAATCAAAGTATAAGAAATAGTAAATATTTATACAATCTTGGGGTGGGAAAGTGTTTCCTCAGCACACTACCATATGCTTTACTTATAAAAAAAGCCTACTATGCTCAACACAAAGAAATTACGAACCAATAAAGAAAAGATGAACACCGATAGATAACTGGGGAAAGAACAAGCAATATATGAAAGAGAAAAAAACAGCACGAATATATGAAAAAATATTCAGTATCAGTAGACAAAGAAATGCAAATTAAAACAAGATACCAATTTCTGATCAACAAATTGTTTAAAAGAAGATCAATCAGAAGGATAGGGAGGTATGTAGAAATCTTGCCAAATGAATATTCATATATACCATACAATAATTTATATCCAAGACCTGTGATATTATGACTAACCATATTATAAAAACAACAGGTATGCATAGGATAACAACATGAAAAAAGCAGGTTATAAAACCACATATTACATACATGTGAAATATAAAGGGAAAAAAGTAAATTTTTTATATTTACAGGTATTACATACACATGAAAAAGCCACTAATGATGCATATTTGGTGCCTCTTTTTTCTTATCTATAAAATCAGGGCAATATACCTACCCCTTTGGAGTTACTGTGAGGATTAAATGAATTACTACACGTAAGGCAACTAGAACAGTACCTGGCACACAGAAAATACTCGATAAATGTAAAAATGTTATTACACTGATGTAAACAGATGGAAAGATTTTACTTTCAAAATCTAAATGGTAGTTAATGCTCTGGAATGGTGCAAGTCTAAATGACCTTTCTTTCCATTTTGTTTAACTATACTTTCTAAATTTTCTCAAGCAAACATATTAAGTAAAATTGCAAATAAAAACCCCAAAAGCAAATTCTTCAAAGCTGGGCACCCAGACAAGCCACTCACAGTGAAAAATGAGTGACATCAGTCAGAAAGAGACAAAGCCCTCTATTATAGTATTTATACTACAGAGTTTCTGTTGGCCCATATGCACACATCTTTGATATTCTGCACTCTACAAGGTAGTGAAGATAGGCTTTTCACTCGAGGTGAAAAAAGGTTAGATCACTACCTTATGTTTTACACACATCCAGATATATTAAAGATCTAAAGAGGAAATATAAAATTTTAAAGATATTAGAAGAAAATAGAGATGGATATCTTTATGACATCAAGTTAAGGAAGAATTTCTTAAAGATGACTCTAAAAACATAAACCACTTGACTATGAAAACTACTCATGGAAAACTAATTTGATTATGTCAAAATTAAAAACTATGGAGTGGCAACAGACACAAGTTGGAAGACAAGACATAGTGGAGGAATATATCTGGAATGTATATAATAATAATGGAGTAGTATTCAGAATAAATGAAGAACCCTTACAAATTAATAAGAAAACCATAATGCAACAAGAAAATGGGCAAATGATTTGAACAGGTGATTCACAGAAGAGGAACTGTAACTGGTCAGTAAACATATAAAAAAATGCTTAGCATTAAGAGAGTCAAGGAAATATATATTAGAACACCATGTAAGTATTTTTCTCATCAGATAAGCAAAAGTAAACTTGCTGGTGGGAATGGCAATTGTTTTAACCAATAAGAGAGTATTCTGACAGCACCTACCTAAACAGATATGCAAATATGCTATGACCTAACGATTTGACTTTTAGGTACACAAATCCTATAGAACCTCTCATCTATGCTCACAGAGATTCACACAAGACTGTTTACCACAACACTGTTTACAACAGCAAAAATGAGATACAATTTAAATGCTCATGTACTAGGTAATGAACACATAAAATATTCCGTAGCCATATGATGGAATACTGTAAAAAACACCCCAAAACCCTAAGTCTATATACAGCGACATATATAAATTTCAAAATCATTTTGTTAAAGATATAAAAAAGCAGGTTGTAGATCATTTGCATTATAGCGTATGATATGTCATTTAAATTTAAAAAGTCACCAAGGATAATATGTTAAAGGATACATATGTAAGAGCTTTAATAAAGAACTGGAAGGGTCCTGAACTTATACTGATGAATGCCTCTGGGATGGAGGGAGCCATGACAGAATGGGCCTGGCGGTGATAGTGAAAGGGCACGTCCACTATTTTAATATTTTATTAAAAAAAGATGGAAAATGTGAAAAAATAATGCTAATACTCTAGTAGGTGGGTAGTTGTTATGTGTATCTTTCTACATTTTTCCCAAAATATTAAGAAACCATTCTTTTCTAAGAATCATACCAAGTCTTATTACCGTATCACTTAAACATGTAATCCCCTATGTATCTCAGCAGACCTGAAGAAACTTCATATAAAAGATTTGCATGTAAAAAAATAAGACTAGAAATAAAATATAAATGAATTTTTATATATAATCTGAAATTTAGAAAAACTGTATAAGCATGACTTGAAACTACCCCAAAGTTTGCTAGATCAAACTACTAAAACACACAACTAAGCAAACAAATGTCTGCATGGCAAAACAAATCATAAATGAGGTTGAAAGGATAATAAACTGGCGGTGGAGGTGGTAAAGGATGTCGTGACATTTGATAAAGCATGAATGAATTTCTTTGTAGAAAGAACTAAAAACAAACATGAATATTCTTAATAAAAAAAATACAAAGCTGTAAAAGAAGAAATGCAAATGAAAAACATGTAAAAAATGTTAAAAGAGTTCAATGGTAATAATAGATATTCAAGAAGACTGGCAAAAAAGACTACCCCAATGAAGTGAGGGTATGGGAAACAGGTTGTGAATAACTCTGGGATTGTCAACAATCTCTCAATTTGGTATTATTGGTACCACTGTTGAACTGTGCACACTTTTAAGCTTATCATTCTCCTAACTGGGAATTTTTCCTGAGGAAATAACAGGGCTAATATTCTTTATAGTGTTTTATATAAACAGTGATTTTCAAAATTGGGTACATGTATTCCTGAGCCAACTTAAGAGGACAAGTGGGAAAGGAGTTTTAAGAGTCAACTGCAACCCCTCGATTTCTATCTGAATTCTTTCTGAGAATGCCTTTGTGGCCAAAGCTTCCAGCTGGCTCCCAGGAATCACACCAGTTTTCCTTTCCAACTTCTCTTTTATAATTCTTCTTCTCTTACTTTATTATAAAAGAGAGGCATATGTCCTAACCATCCAAATCTTAATGTGGTATGTTGCTCTGTGATATAAAAACCTGGGGAGATAGGAAGGCAAACAAAATGATGTTATCTGTGATAAATATGAATACCTTCAATATTTTTAAACTTTTGTTAAAAGATTAAATTTTTAGCTTTTGTAAAATTACATTGATAGTTGATGATATGATCATCACAATTTTTGATGATATATTACTATGTGATTTTTGGTCATTTGATTAAAAATGAATGAAAATAACTGAGTGGCACTGTTGTTAATACATCTTCCATTCCCAAACTCTTAAGAGTATTTCTATTTTTAAAAATTTGCTATTATAAATACTGAGGTTTCTGAATATTTACCAACTATAAAAACAAAAATATTAGGGACAGTAACAAGGAACATTGTTTCATTTGTGCAATAAGTAGTACTGATCCAAAAATACACAAATGCATGGGGGAAAATCTCAACTATTTCATTAAATGACAGTCATTTTTAGTATGTAAACATAAAAAGTAATTTTTAATAAAAATTTATAGTATTTTTGATCACTCATATTATTCTAATAATTGTAAAAACAATTTAGAAAATATTTTTACACTTTGAGACAATAAAAAGCTTAAAAATCCAATTTGTATATTTTTGTTGTATCTAAGTATCATAAACTGATTAATAAAATGTCTGAAATATATTATGATAAAAATATATCTTAAGATAAAATTCTGTGAAGTGAAACAAAAGAACTCAAGGAGAAAAAGGAAATGATGTAAAATTTCTGCAATGATATTTCTATTTCATTTGATACATTTAAGGATGATTTAAAAGTTGTATTTTAAAATGCTAATATTTACACACACATACAAGCCCCACCCTGAAATTATGTGCTTTGCGACTATGATGAAAAATTTAGATGTCAACTTAAAAATATACAAGAGATATATGGGCTTTCAATATTTTGAGAAGAGTATGCCAGCAAAAATGTTTTAGACACTGATATACCAAATATTTGAAAACAGCCAGTCCATTAATAAGAAATTAAAATACTCCTATTATTTTAAATTTACTTTCATAAAGACCGCTTTTTTTTTTTTTTTAAGTAAATAGGCTTTAACATTCTAGTCAAGGAAAAAAGTGTATAAGTATACATCATCATGAGGGAAAAAGATATCCATTATATCTCTTATAGCATCTTTAATTTTTAAGACTGCAACATGGGATTAAAATGGAATAAATGAAGAGGTAGAGGTAGTTTCTTTAGAAAAAATTGGTGAGGGTTAAGGAACAGAAATATGTTAGTATCTTGAGATTCTCAGACTGAATAAATTCTTATATGTAAACCAGAATAACTTATGCATAAAAATCAATTTATAATCATGGTTCTCTAATCTCCACATACTCTTGTTTTATTAAGATTTCCATCATATTCTTGTCCTATAAGAAGAAATAAACTACAGCAAGGTTGGAGACTCTCTGCTAACTGCAGTAACAAGCATAGTGTAATTTATTGAGTGGTATGTGCCAGATGCTGTGTTATGGGCTTTATACATAAAAATTAATTCTCGTTGTCCTGTGAGGCGTTAGCGCTAATTTACTGATAAGGAAACTGAGGTACAGACAGGTTTGATAACTTGCTGAAGTGACATCACCAGTAAATAAATGTCAAGCTGGACTGCAAACTCAAGTATGTCTGACTTTTAAAAGTTCGTGTTCTTAACCATTCTCCCACTTAGTCTTTATTATTCCTTCAAAATGAGTACACCTCTAATCAATAAAACTTACTGAACATCTAAGGCATTGTGTTAGCCATGCATGGGGGAGGAAGGTAGCAATGAGAGCAAGTAAATTCACAAAATTTTCTATTCACTATTTCATCTAGAGTTGAGAACTATATGCAGTCTAGTAGATAGAAAGGAATGTAAGCAGGTATCAAGCAGAGAAAAGAAAACTTGGCTGAATGCTTTCTATGGACGAGGTGCATCTTAGCACCCAAGGAGATAGGTGATGCTACTCCAATTTTATAGATAAGACATCTGTAGCTCAAAGAAGCTAACCTCTTGCCTAAGGTCAGAACAGCTAATGTGCAAAAACAGGGGCTGGCCATACCAAGAGGCTCTCGTTAGGAAGCTACCTGTGTATCATACTGTGGAAAGGAAGAGCTTTGGGGAAATAGTTGAGACACATTTCATACTTGTAACAACATATATAATTTAGGTAAATTTGCCATGGATAAATTTCACAGTCTTAATAGCTGTCATATACTTACATGAAGAGTTTAATTTAATGGAAAGGATAGCTTTTAACTACCTATAAATGGTCCCACCCCAATATTGTATTAATTTCTTCCTGTAGTAAATTTAAGTTTTAGTTTCTCGAAAGATTTATAAATATGTAAGTCTCTTACTCAGAAGATAATTACAGAAATCTTAACTTACTGTCAATTGGTAACGTCATTTCTAGGTATAATGACCAACATCTGTATTCTACCACCACTTAAAAATTTTTTTATAAAACTACAATACAATTCTACTTGCAAGATAGTAAAACCTTTAGCAGGAGCAATGCTGATACAAGCCCTGTAGGAATATCAATGCAATCACCATCCCCACAAATCTCTACTCTCTTCTTCCTACCTGCAGGTGCTGTTCTAAGTGCTTTTACATGGATTTCTCAACATCCTTACAAGTCAGGTATTATTTATTATTATCATCCCCTTATAACAGATGAGGAAACTGAGGCAAGTGGAAGCTAAGTAGGTTTTTCAAGATCACAAAGCTAGAAATCATATCATGCAATCTGACTGCAGAGCCGATGCTCTTAAAACACTTTATCCTCGGCAAAAAAATGACTAAGCAAGAATCAGTATTTTTCCTATATAAATGTTCTAGAAATATCTATTCAAGGCTGAAACTTGTAAAATCGATACTCTTTTTTGTTATGTATGCTGGCTGACTATGCGACCCTCAAACTCACAGAATGTGGGAAACAATGCTCTTCCAGGGGCAACCTGTCAATTTCCTCATCTATCTTTCATGGCTGCTCTCATTGTCAATCAATGAGTCTCACAATAGGTCCCACTCTCATTTTACTTCTGCCTATTTGATTTCGGGGGTTTCCCAGTAGAATTTTCCTTGTTTTTAAGTCCATGCATTCTACTGAGAACAATCATAAAACATTCTCAGGAAACAGCTGCTCTAACTTTCTCTTTGGGCCTCTTGTTTCTCTGCTTTTCATGTACACCATTCCCCTTTTGAATAAAGGTGGCAATTCTTTTAAAGATTTTTCCTTCTATTTGAATCATCTGACCTCACTCTGTACACCAACCTCAACCCCCATGTCTTTTCAATTTTGATTGTAAAGACTTGATCCCACTTCAAATGTGCCCCCAATCATTAAAAGAAATTGTAAAATTCATGTATCTTAAAAGTAAATGCTATTTTTTAGATTTTATACATTTGAGATAATTCACCTTGGTACTAAGAAAAATGGAAGTAGTTAAATAACTTAATAATTCCATTTATTTTTCTCCTGTTAACATTCAAAATAGAGACAACTATACATTTCTCTCCTGGAGCTTTCTTAGCTTTCCCAGGTTGAGATCACTGTGCCCTGACTTATTTCAGACTGGGCTGGTAAAAGCAGAGAGGAGCTCTCTTTACTTGAGGATTTAGGAGGCTGCTGAGGATCTCAGAGTGCTTTTTCTCCATAACTGACACTTGATGGTAGAGACGGTCTGACTTTACACTTTGTAACTAACACAGCATCTTTCCAATCTAAAAGCAAACAATTGTTTGCACATTAGCAATATATAATACATAAAAGTTGTGAGTTGTTTTACATGACATACAAAAATGTCAGATTATCTTGAAGTTTTAAATTTCAAAAAACCTAACTTTTCTCACAAATTATACAATCAAGTAAAAAGACTACACATGCTTTACTTGCTTATATAATTTCTCTCCTTTAACCTTACTTTATTGAACAAGATGAGAACGGAGAGAGGGAGAGGGAGGGAGGGATGGGGGAGCAGAGAAGGGAGAATGTGGGGTGGGGGGAGGCGGGGGAGATAAAAAGCCAAGTTACTAAGAGTATCTGCAAGCCAGAACTCAGAACGTTTATTATCAAGTTCATAGTTCAATCTCTTTTCACTAAAAAAATCTAGAAAAGTTGCTTAGTATGTTAAAGTTACTTTACTTTTTCCCCTCAATTTTCTCCCTTCCCCTTCAGGACTCAAAAGCACTCCTGAAACATCAGAAAAAGACCTTCAGAGCCTCCTGGGTTTCCCCTCCCCTTTACTCTCTGTCCATAGACCTGGGGACCTGGTGGGAAGGGGGAACCTGGTGCTTTTATACCTACAGCTGAAGTTACATTGCCTATAATTCCTTTTCCAGCATTTCTCACTAGAATTCCCTGCAATCAGTTTTTTCTCCCCTCTACTCCAAAAAACTGGCTCTTTTCAAAGTCACCAGTGACTTCTGCATTGCCAAATCCAATGCTTAATCCTCCAGTCAACTATATGAGATCTATGAGCAGCAATCAGCACAAATGGTCAATCTCTTCTCTTTGAGGTACTTTCTCCATTTAGACTCCAGGTCCCAGCTCTCTTGCTGCTTCTGTTCCCTGACCATTTTTCCTGTCTCCTTTGTTTATTTTCCCTGAGCCTCTAAATTTCTCTTTTCTATATGCATTTACTTCTTAGGGGACCTCACTCAGACCCAGGTCTTTAAATACTGTCTATACACTGATAATTCTCAAATTTGTACCTCCACCTGGAGGCTCGAATATCCAACTGGCTACTCAGCATCTCGGCCCAGACATCTAGCAGGTCTCTTAAACTTATGTGTCTAAAACTTAGCTTTCTCCCCACAAAATGCTCTTCCTGAGTGTTCCCCAGCAGAAGAAATTCAACCTCCATTTTTTCTGGCTGTTCAGGCCAAATATCATAGTGTCACCTTGATTCATTTTCCTGTCATATTTTGTCATCCAACCCATCAACAAATCATATTGGTGCTACCTTTAAAATACCGTTAAGTCCTCAATGTCGTGGATAGGTTCTACCACATAAATGAAACCATGTATGAAACCAATTCATCATAGGCTAATCAATATAAACAAGAGTTAAGTTCCTACCTTAACGCTGTAATGAAATGTTGAACAAAATGTTATTCATGGACCTGCTGTATCCAGAACATGACCAGCCCTCATTTCCTCCACCACTTCCACCCAAGTCTAAGTTGTCACCATCTCTCCCTCGAACTACTTCAGGAGCCTCCTTGCTGATTTGAATTTTTACCCTCACCTCCTTGCAGCAGCCATAATGACCCTTTTAAAACAATTCAGATAATACTACTACTTTGCTCAAAACCCTCCAACAGCTGCCCATCTCGTTTTGAGAAAAAAAAAATGTCCCTACCATTGCTGAAGGTGCTACTGATCCAGATCCATCTAATCTGCCCACCTCCCTCCCCCTGCTCATTCTACTCAGTGATGCCAGAGGACAAAAACTGTTTTTAGTTCTGCTATGACAGTTTAACTTCAATTTCCCTTTGAACTGCTCCTTCTTTCCATTTGATTCTTTGCTTAAATTTAAATCACTTTATCAGAAAAGTCATCTCTCTATCCAGTATTCTTTTTCTCTTTTCCTGCTTTACAGTTCTTAGAATCTGTCATTACAGGAAATATTTATGTATCTCTTCTGACAAGAATGTGGGTAGGTGGGAGGGCTTAATAAATATTTGTTGAAGAAATGAATAAATGACTTTAGCTGAGTGACAGTGTAGAGTTGAGGCCAACAATTAATTTCTTTCCTTACTTCGGTTCATGGTGAAGATTATACTGCTGACAAGTGGCAATTTCGAAGTAGTAACAAAAAGCATCAGAGAGGAACAGATTAATTAAAGACTATGTTTCTATTTAGGGATGGTATAAGAATCACCTAGAATACTTAAAAAATACAAAGGCCCAAGCCTAACCCTTGAAGCATCTGATTTAGGGAATGAAGGTGGGGGCAGGCAACAGTATTTTTTAAGTTCCCCAAGTGATTCTGAAGTCCAATCCCTGTCAAAACCACTTATTCAAAAGAAGGGTCTGAAAGGCATGTGGTAAACTATGCAGTAAATAAAATAACATACATTTTTTTAAAACCCACATACCTGACTGGGGACTCAAAAATATAGTTGTTTTTTGTTTCTTTTTGTCTTCATGTAAAGGCACTGCCTAAAAAATGAAATAGACTGGTTTACAAAATTGAAAGGAATATCTGAAACAGCCTTAAAGCTAACCATATCCAAGGAGAGCTGAAATTAGGCATGTGGGTGGCAGAACCTTGCAAGTTAATTGAAAAGCAAGACACATACATATGCAGGAATCCTTTAAGCGCGCCCTGCCATCTGGTGCATAGCAAGCCTCCTTGATGCACTATGCTGAGGGCAGAGTAAGGGAGTCCAGAGGGTTAGCCAGAAGGAAGGAGGCAGGGCCTGGGCTTACCCAGCACCTCGTAGACCAGGCACAGAGCGGCCAGCAATCAGTAAATGTTTGCTGAATAGACAGTTGACGGAAAGGCTCCTTGCTCAGGTTTGAGCTAGGTTTACCTGAACAAATGTGCCAGCTGGTCTCAAAGGGCTAGGTGAAGAAGGGGCTCCAAATACACAACCTGATTTAGACATACCCGAGAAAGAAATTAGCACTTTCTGTTCCTACTTTAAATTAAAAGCAGACGACCTGTTTTCAAACTTTCACAGAAAGATTTTCTGTTGATATGACAGAAGCTCCACTCGGTATATTGTGTGGACAAAACAATAATGTATTTGAAGAAATGAGAGGGAGCTGTATAATTTTTAGACAGGAAGAAGCAGCTGATTAATTTTAATGGCTACTGGAGGAAATTCACCATACTCTAGCCCCACCCCTCCCTCATTTTACTTTTATAATATGAGAAATCATTGATTTTCATGTGTAAATAAATACTATGTTCTGAAGAAACAAGATTCTAGTGCTTTTCCTTAGGGTGATAATACTCTATTTCTGCCTGAAGATATCCTCTCTTTGATTTGCTGCTGCTGCCCCAGCCTGCCAGAATCACTGCCACTGCTCTGTTTTGAGAGCTCTACTAGTAAACTTAAAACTCACTAGAAGAGGAAATTCATCAATGCTGGGGGACTGTAGGGGTATTCCTTCACCACTCTGTTGTACCTAAGAGGAACACAATTATATGTGCTTCAAGCTCCTCTGAAGGGTAGCTTACAAAAATAATTTTGGTAAAATTTTATTACATCTTATTTATATTGTTTATAGTTTCCTCATCTGTGAACAGGGACATTAATAATATCACATTTAATGGGGCTGTGGTGAAAATTAGATGAGATTACCCATGAAAAGTACTTAAAATAGTGCCTGACCCAAAGTAAGCACTCAATGAATATCAGCTTTTCTAGTAGTTTAATTTCTTTTAAATGTATTTACCTCTTAGAATTATAAAAGAGAATCATCTGATCCTGGCCTATGTTCCAAGTCAGGGCAAAAAAGTTTAAATTTGAATTTATCTGAGTTTCTTAAAAGTAGGACAAACTGTATTTTCCACAAACACTTAAGTCCTATTTTTAAAACCAATAATTAAATAATTTAAAAATATATTTCTTGCCATAGAAAGCTTCTTTTTGGGGAAAAAAAATTATACATGATCTAAAATTTTCTGTCTTAAAAAGAGACACTTTATTGCTGATATATAATAAAATGAGAAAGAGGTATTAGTGTCCCAGGAACAATTAACACTAGAGTGAGCATTTTAAGGAAACTGTCATAAGTGCTGACACTTCTTTATGATGTCCACAAATATACACGATCAAGGACAGGAACGGGGTTATTACTTTAATCAAAAAAATTATGTCTCAGAGTTTCTTTTCTGAACTAATCAAAGCCCGTCGTTTTGCAGGTTTGTTCTGAGTGAAAATGTATACATTTCTTGTAAATCATAACTTATATATACACAAAGTATCCCTACTCTTAACAGTCTGTTAAAAAGGTGCTCTCAACATTCGACACATTTAATACAACAGGCCAATTCAGATCTAACAACTTAAAGGGGCAAGATTTATAGATGATTTTGAACTACTGACAATATACTTTTTCCTCATCATATTAATCGTGCTTACTGCAGAAAAACAGTTAAATGATAAAATCTAAAGATAAAATCTTCCTAATTCTCCTCTGCAGTTAGAATCACTGTTAACTGTGTAACCTATTTCCTTCTAGTCCCTTTTCTATGCATGCGCATGAATGTAACTAAATAGAAATACAAATGGCTCACTGTACACAGTACAGTGTCTTGAGGTAACTTTATGCCTTCTCCATGGCTGGGCAGTGCTTTGATATCAAAAGTGCACATACTAAGTAGCGAAGCTCAAGTTATAGCTTGTTTCATAGTCACTCAGGCTACATTTTTTAGGTACTGGGGATGACTGGGTTTTCACTTCATTGATAATCTTATTTAAAAAGTCAACTAAATGACTTCCATAAGCCTCTAAATAAAACCAGGAATACGTGATTAAGACCATAGAAGATCAGAATTGAAAGGGGAGTGGGAGACTTCACTTTCTTAAAAATAAAATCTTTTTGAGTAATTAGATTTGTTAGAGTAATAAATATAACTAAAATAGTAAAAGAACTCTACAAAAGAGATTTCCCTTGAGATGTGAGTGCAAACATCAAGGTGTGATTGGTGTCCATACCTGGAGAGCCTTTAAATTGTGGGCATTCCTTTTTAATGTGCCCTTCCCTTCCACAAATAAAACAACGTTTTTCTCTTAAGTCTTTGTCATCCTGTCTCTTCCATTTTTCCAATGGTGGCCTGAGCATTTTCTCTCTCCCCAGGTCGACAGCTGCCCTCACTGGCTTGGCTTTCTGAGGTGTGCACTGCACAGGCTTTTCTTCTTTTGTTGACATCTCCCTCTCTGTGTACTTGTTTTGAGTTTCTTTGTCGTCTTTGCTTCTTTTCTCTTTGTTCTCAGGGTATCTTTGGTTCAGGGTATCTTCTTGATCTCGCCGTCGTCTCACTCTATAGGAGCAGAGATATAATACTATTAAGATAAATCTAAACAGAAACGTAACAAAATATTAAGACAATTCCAGGTTTAGGAAATAACCAGAAATGGAAGGTAACAGAGGGCAAAATAAGAATTTAACAAATCTAAGTCCACCTTTTCTATTAAGAAGCAACCTCAGGGCTTCCCCACTGCCCCACCCCACCCCCTCCCATTTTCACAATTACTCCAATGCTGTAAAACCAGTTTTTGCAATTAATGGAACTCCTTGGTTCAACACCTACTTTGATACTGATATAAAGAAACTCAACTTATCCTTTGCGTGATTTCTTGAACCTTCTCACCTATTAGCATTTTTAGACACCAGAAATTTGAGACATGAAACTTTAAGTTCACAAGGAAATAATGATTGCAAGGAGATTTAGGTTCCTAAAATGTTAAAATAATTTCTTCCTTGTCTAACACCATCAGTGACTATTATCTGAATAAAAACAAAAGTACTAAATAAGGGCTTCAAATTCTAGATGGTGACTTATTTTAAGTGGCATGTTTTTAAATGAGCATATTATTGTCCAGTTAAAAACAGCACCACCACCCAAATATGTTCCAAGTGAGCAACCAAAAACGTCCCTTTGCCCTCCTGCAAACATCACCAGAAGAAAGCACGATGACCAAACTGAGTCAGTTATTAAGGATTACACTGTGTACAAATGAAGGATACTTTAGTCTGTAAACTGTCAGTGAGTCTAAATCTCAATATGGCACACCCAGTTATTGTACATTAAAAAGTGTTATTGACATCCTGAAAGAACTAATTTTACTTTTCATTGACTGATGAAATGATCCTGAATTTCTCACTGCTGTAAAAGGGAAGAATTTTAGTTTTTTATTTTCTTCCTCCATCCTGGCTGGAGAGGCTGATGGCCAAATGACTGAGTAATGACTAGGGTCACGACTAAAATTAAGAAAAGGGATTGGGAGACTGTCACCTGAACACTGGAGTCAATCCTTGTCATCTACATTTAAAGCGACATTTTAACTCAAGTCATTTTTATTGTAAAAAATCTTAAATTTATCTTTGAAGTGCTGAATTTCTTACAAGTTAATTTTGTTGTAATAGAACCTCTTTTAAAAACTGGCCCAGTAAGAACATAAAAACAAAACCACCTCTTTTGTACATTTACTTACTTTCTCCTCATAGGACAGTCTTTCATGAAGTGTCCAATTTTCCCACAAATTCGGCAACATCTATCATTTGGGGCAAGCTCTCCTTCAGTTAGCACATCTGGATCAAAAAAGTACTCCTAGCAAAACATAAATATATACAAATCTGAACTATTAATGTGAGATCGAAATACAAAAACTAACCTGATAACATTCAGGGATCTTATATCTCAACACTGACATACTGTTATTTTAGTAAATATTATTTATACTGTTTAATTTCAAAATCTGAAATCATTAAGAGATTTAATTCAGGAGAGTTTTAAATTGCATTTGTTTATTCCTTTTCATCATGCTGAACTCTGTTTAACCTTAATCATAGAGGTAGCTTTTTTCCCCAGCACAAATCTAAATAAGAGCATTATATATCCCCATGAGTCAGCTGCCCCAGGACTTGAGAAAAATTAAGCCAAGTGTAAAGGTTTCGTTTTTCTCAAAAGAATGAAAAGATTAAAACATAATGAATGAAAAACATGATTTGTATTACATGGATTATAGAGAAAAAGAAAGGAGCTATGTGTTGTTGCTTTGTTGTGGCTTCTGAGGAAAAATATCAGAAGAAAGGAAAGACAACGATCTGGACTCTAGCCTCTCTGTCACCGAAATTAAGGTGGGGACCAGTAGCATCAATATTACCTGGGAATTTGTAAGAAATACGAAGTTGTGGGCCCCTGGCCCCGACCTCCTGAATTAGAATCTGCATTTAACAAAATCCCCAGGTGATGTTTGAATAAGTTTCAGAAGCATTAGAAGACTGCCACAATATTATCTAGCAAATGCTAGATGCCCAGATGTAATCAAATGCTGAATATGGTTATATAAACATATGCTTAAGGTTCATTAAAAGTGTTTTATTCAGAAAATTAATGCGGAAAAACATGACTTTAAACATAAAACCCTCTGGCTCCTAAGCCCCTTCCTCTCACTGAAATAAATGTTCACAGTGTAATTTCGTTTTGTTTTCAATGAGTGCGGTTCCATAGAAACCTGAGTATCAGTTTACCTCAGAACAGACTGTTTTCTAGCACAGGAACAATGTCTCTCTCCTAGTCCCATTAAGAGATTTATTAATCTTTGCCAGCAGATGCAAAACATCTAGACTTCATATGAGAGTGGAGGATGTCCTCATATATGTGCCAACTGGGCTTGGCAGAGGCTGGCATAAACGGAATACTGGTGACACAACAGCGCCACCTATCTGTGTTACCAGGGAAAAGAAGCAGCACCAAAATTATTAATTTTTCCACCCAAATGCTAGTTCTGGCTATTTCTCCCTGTTCTGAAAAATTGCCTCAAAACAGGGATGTTTCAAAAAAGGTTTTTAGGAATTTGTGTTGTAATTGTCTCTCTTGCCTATACTACCAGACTTTCAGAGCATTTAAGTAATTACTAAAGTAAAGTGTACCTGGTGATTAACAAAGGTTCTTAGAATTGTTTTTTTTGGTATTTCCAACAGACACTTACCATTTTTGAGGGGTAATCCTTTGGAAATCCTTTAACTGGAATACCAAACACTCTTCTGCCATTAATAAATGCTTTCATTATAAAATTTGTCACTAAGAAGAAAACAGTAAGTGCTCAATTAGATGGATTAAAAGGAAAGGAGATCACATTAATATTTACAAACAAAGTTAACTTACTTTTCCTTGATAATCCAGCTCCAAGATTATGATTCAAATCAAAAGGATCTAAGTTAACAATAACAAAAAAAAGGATAAGATAATCAAAATAAAAATCCCACTATAATTAGTCATTAATAAAAATATTAAATGAATTCCTTTTTAATGAGTTTCAAATAGGTTATACAGCTAAGTAATATATATTCCTGAATCTAAGGCAAGTTTTTTTCTCAAAAGTGTCCATCAGAAGAGGGTGTTGCTTCATATCTGAATCCTTATAAAGTCATCCATATTCGAGGAGTTGTTTTATTCTGAATAAAATATTGTTTGGAGAAGACTAATATTAACCTGATATTACTTGATGTTAGTGTTAGATTCATATAGAGATCACAAATATATTTAAAACATTTTAGTGCTAAATGTTCCTGCCAACTAACAAGCTTTTTAAAGATCACTTTAGAAAATAATTCATCATGGATATCATAAAATGCACTCTTAAGATAAATTAAAACATAACACAAGCAATGGCTACTTGGATCTCAATTTCTAGTAAAAGCTTCATATAAGAACTCCCATAAAATCACAAGTATCTACACTCGAACATCTTAGTTGAGTGCATATATGTTGTGGTCTGCAACATTATTTGTTAGATGACCCACAAACTAGTAGAATGATGAAAAAGATGATTTCAAAGATATGAAAACTGAAAAAATTGGTAAAATAAATGAGTGTAAAGCACTTTCTAAATCAATAACCTAGTTTATAAGTAATTTAAAATAATTCATAATTTAAACATAATATATAGATATTTATTTCCTATAAATGCCTAAAAACCTATTCAAGAAAGCAAAGAAGCCATAAAATCTTTTGGGGGATCATTGCGCTGAAAAAAGAAGAATTTCACACATATACAAAAACAGTAAAGAAGCAAAAAGAGGCACCCTTTTGGTTATCTGTCATGATTCCAATGTAGGATGACCAGGGTATCTCACTAACAGTACCGGAGCATAGGATCCTTCCCTCAGCATAGCCCTACACTTTTATTTACTATGAATCTAAGGCCATGCTACCCTGAACAAACCCGATCCCATCTGATCTCAGAAGCTAAGCAGGGTTGGGGCTGGTTAGTACTTTAATGGGAGACCATCTAAGAAGACCAGGTTCTGTAGGTGTAAAAAAAAAAAAATGAAAAAATAAGAGATTGTAAGCTGACAAGGTCCTTGAAATCTGTGAGGTCAACCAAGGATTGCCTTGCCTAAAAAAAAAAAATATTACTATGAGAAGTTTTCTTCCTTGGTGGTTTGTTTGGTCATGCTTTCTTCTGGTGATTTTTATGTGTGTATATGTGTACATATTTTTGGTTGTTTGCTTGGGGTAGCAGAGATACTATAATCTTAAACTACTGTATAGGTACAAACACTGCTACTACCACCACTAAAATTTCTCAACTCTAGGACAGCTAGTTAAAAGTCTTTAAGTTTATCCTATTCCAATGGCTCATTGGAAAAGTAAAGATAATAATGCTTCCAAAATTAAAAGCAAAACATCAAAAATTGGCAGACCATGAGAACCCACTGAGACAATGAACAGGATAAAACAAAGTTCTATGTTTTGGCCATATGAGATACTAAAAAGTTAAAACCACATCTATAACTCATTGTGATCTGAATTTCATTTTACAAATGTTCACATTATAATACTGTCACTAGGCAGAAGTAATGATGAAAGCATAACCTAGAGTAACACATATTATTTAGGTGATAAGACAATATTAAAAAAAAAGGATTAAAGATTAAAATCAACAAAATATTTAAGCCATTTCTCAGTTCATTATAAGCATTTAAACTCCATTTTTTTGTTTTTAAAATTAAAATTTCACAAACTGAAAATAGTCAGTTTACAAACATCAAATGGTACTAATAGCAGAATCTTCCATTAATAGCAAATAAAGATCTTGAAAATTCACTAGTAGTAGCACTCTTCAAACCCTCAATTAGGTTTTTAAAGTTCCATTTATCTTGAAGCTGGCTTATCTCTATTGTGACCTTCCTTATTCTCCAGTAAGTCTTCGACAATAGTAAAAGATTTGTCATGGTGACCAAAGACTTTTAGATTTGTGAGAGGCCCCACACTGGGGCATCAGTCACTTAAAAATAAATCTTTAGGCTGCAAACTGTCACCTCTACCTAATGCAGACAGTAACGGGATGGCTGTGCTGCACATCCCAATCAGTGGCTCAGGGACTGCCCTGGAAGAGTTCTGGGACGATGAAGAACAATGCCTTTATAGTTCAAACTCTATATTCTATTCAACTTTAAGTTTTGATTTTAATTGCACCTTCAATAACAATGTATTTCGAGGTCCACTGTTTCTTAAAAGTTGTAAGCAGACTTTTTCTTCTGATGCTAATAACATGTTCTTTAAAATCAAATTCCTCTGTATAAAAACGAAGAAGTCCCAACCAGAGCTGCCCAACAGATTCTGTATTTCTTCCATATTCTGGCCAACAGGTGGGCTAGAAATAGACGGGAACAAGAGATATCATGAATATTAATATCGATATTCAACTGTATTTTTATGAAGTAAATTTAGACTTATTTCTAATTAACTAGAGTTTAAATATATAAAAAATGTAACTTATATAACTTTTCTTTCACATTGAAAATACCATTTACATGAGTTTATTAAACTCTACTCTATGACCTGGAAATAGGGAGAGCCCAGGGTTTTAAATGTCAAGTCTCAGAATGCATGTTAGTGGAAGAATCTGTAAATAAACTTTAAGAGCCTTGGTGATAACGCAAAGTCTTTCCAAACTCTCTGTACAAAACCACAGAGCAAATATTTGTTCATTTGGAATAAAGTTACTGAACTGTTTGGAATTACTAAGGCATTAAAGAAATTATGGATATAAATAGTCCCTAAAAACTCACCTGGCTTAGTAAAAATGTTTTCAAAGGAAACATCTGTATATGCTAGATTTTTTTACTAACATAATATAAATAAATATAACAAGTGATAATCTGAGTTGCTGACCAACTACACTACAGCATAGTTAACTTTTAGTCAAGGATGTAAAAAAAAATCTTTACTCTTAAAATACGTACCAGTTCATTTATTTGATCAAAAAAATAAATATTCCAGCCATCAACAAATATTTCAGGTTTCTTTTCACCTTTGTATATCTGCAATTAATTTTTAAACTATTAGTATGGATTACAAACTTAATGCATTGATACAAAAACTTGTAGAAAAACAGTTAAAAATTTAACTACAGAATCATGGAATTTTTGAGAAGGAAGAGGGCTCAAAGATGACCCAGCTTTATAAATGAGAAATACAATTTCTTTTACTAATACCTCTTGAAGGACAGGAATGACTGGTGGATTCCTCTGCTGGAGAAAATATAGCACCATAAGCGTGTATGCATATGACGATAAGCTGCCTCTAGATGCATCACCAATATCGCACATCTAAAGGAAAGAAAATCGAGGAACAAAGCAAAGATCACCAATGTTTTCTGTTTTGCAGCTATTCTATTATCGTTAAAAGTAAGGTGCTTCTATAGGGTACTAATAAAAATTATTTTCAAATGCTAAAATATGCCAACAAAACCAAATGAGACCAATCGAAAGACTATCAAAGATAAAGTAAAACAAAGAAAAAGCCCAAAACCAAAACAAAGAACCCAACAAAGCAGTAGAACAATCAGCCACAAACAAGATCATATTACCATGTAAAATTTAAGACAACAAAACTTTAGATTGCTCAGTAGGGTTTCCCAAGTAGTTAAAAGAAGAATTTGTCATGGGTATGGTTCTTTAGAAAAAATATAGACTTAATGTTTTCTACAAAGTCTGAAGATGCAGTGAAACTACCTGATAAATCACAACAGGAAGCATACTCACCTTTGTAAATACTTTCATGGTATAGCACAAATATTTCACTCTGGGATCAATGGCTGAATAAGCAGATAAAAGCCTTGTGTTATGAAGGGCCTGTTAAAAGGGAAATTATACTATAAGGCTATCAATTAGAAGAAAAAGTTTTAAGCTGGAATATTCTGAAAAGGTTTACACTGTAATTTATTTTAGGATGAAGACATTTTAGACTGAAAGCATTTTTCCCCAAAGACAAGCTTCATTAACTTACTAGATAATAATTAAGAATTATACATGACATTTGATTTAATGATATCCATAATAATATTTCCTTAGTTCGAACATTCCTAGAAAATAAGGGCTATTAAAATAATCAGTTCCCTTTAAGTAGATGGAAGATTCTCCCAACCCACCTGGGATTATTTAAATCAAATGTTCTTAGGAGCCAGAGAAGTCCCATAAAGTCTTGAAGTAGGAGACCAAAGACAAACACACAAACTTCAAATTTAAAACAGTTCAAACCAAACAAAAAGTACCTGTTGCTCTGACCTCATTTTAAATGAACACTAACAGTAACTCAATTCTCTGTTATATCCCCAGCCTAAGAAAATTGCCAGTAACACAGCAAGCACTCATAAATAATTACTGAAAAAATGAATAAAATGAAATGAACAGCTTATACTGGAGATTTTGTAAATTAAGAGACATACATTCTCTTTTAAATCTTCCTAAAGAAAAAGCCTAGAGAATATCTTACCAATGTGTTATACAAACTGATGTCCACTTCCAGACCACTTCTCAAATGGAAGAACTTTACAATTGGCACCTTTGCTGTTGTAATAGGCAAGATGTTTCTCAGACCTAGATTAGGAAATAAGATAGTATCATTAATACAGCAGCTGGGCATATAGCTGCTCCTATATGAATGTTCCAGTAGAAAATAGTAAACCTAATTTTGGCTTGTTTCACTGTAGTCACTAGGATTAGTCAAAGAATTCTGTTATCAACAAACACTTGGGAAGACTCTTCTGGCAAAGTTTACATTTCTTAAACACATTCATGTGTGAAGTACAAGAATCGATAAGGCAGCTACTACTGCCCTCTAGGAACTCACTGGGTCATGTGCCTGTGTGTAGGGCTGTCAATTTCCTCAACACCGAAATAGGAAACTACTAGAGTCTGGATTACGAAGGCCCTACCTACTCTCTTCACAGGACTCTATCTAATATGAAGGGAGAAAAGCCTATGAGGCAATCATCTGAATCCTTAAAGCAAATGTTACTTGTCATGGGCTGTGTGTAGGGCTGTCAATTTCCTCAACACCGAAATAGGAAACTACTAGAGTCTGGATTACGAAGGCCCTACCTACTCTCTTCACAGGACTCTATCTAATATGAAGGGAGAAAAGCCTATGAGGCAATCATCTGAATCCTTAAAGCAATTGTTACTTGTCATGGAGATAGAGGTTATGATAGTAAAAAGAAGGAATCAATTTCACAGGACAGAAGTAAATTGCCTGACATAGGCTTTGGAAAGGAACAACAGGCAAAACAGAGGAGGCTGAGGGGATTTACCAGGCAAGGAAAACTGCACATGGGAAGTTAGATGTCAGAAATGGAATGGCATGTACAGGTTACAGAGCAGATTTGAGAGAAAGGAATAACAAGTAATAGGAGATGAGGTAGAAATTTGGAAGACCCCAAATAGAGAAGATATATTTTGCTAATAATCCTTAGAGGCAAACAAAAGCCAATGAACTAGTATAAGTAGGGGAGAATCACTGGTCACATCTATTTAGACAATACCCCAGCAGTGGATGGACTGGAGGCACCTGGAATAGAGGCAAGGTAACTATTATGAAAAATGATCTGCGCATGAACTGTCACGGTGGCACGGGAATGAAGAGAAGCAGCAAGACATGTTTGAGAGCATCTATAATTGAATGGGTTGGAGAAATGGAGAAGGAGGGCTGTAATTTTAAGGGCTACTATTTCCCGAGTACTTAAAATTCTTTACAAACATGACTTCCTAAGACTATTCACCCTCACCTAATAGTTGAGGAAACAGACCCAGAAAAATGAATCTGCTATTGTCACTTTACAGATGGGGAACTGAGTGCTCAAGAGGTTGAATGACTTTCTGGGATCACACAGCCAGCAAGTGGCTAAGCCAAGATTTAAAACCAGAAAGTCTGATTCTAGCACCCCTGTCAACTCCTTTGCTATACTGCCTCTAAATTAGATAGCCTTTTTCTCTACCTACCTCTCATTCTAGAACTTGACAGTGTTAACCATTATGACACTTATAAGGTCATCCACTAGGATTTATTCACAGCACATCATCACATTCCTTATTTCATCATTCCAATGGTTCCTTGTTTAGTGTCTTTCCTTAATTTCTACACATAGAAATTAAAGCTTAGTCTTCAACTCTTCAAATGATCCTCTGGAATTGTTTTATTCTTGGTCTATTTCTCTTTCTTCAAGACTTTCAATGCAAAACTTTTCTTTTGTTTTTCAATACTGATTGACAACTCCATTACTTCTAATTTCTTGTTGGACTGTTAACTCACAAAGATTCTATATTCATGGCAAACTACTCTCACACTGGTGTTTTCTGCAAACAGTCCCATTTTTCAAACACCTCGACTTTAGTCTGAATCCTTATTTCCTACTTGTAGTTACCAAATCTAGAAAATTTCCCTTTGGAATCTCTTATATCCTTTTCCTTTTCAGACCACTGGCACTTGGTTAAGGTCTTTCTGCCCTATTACTTAAATTAGACCTTCCCTAAAAGACTATACTAGCTGCCTAAAAAGCTTAAGTTTTTCTTTTATTGGGTTCCTCTTCTCCTGAAGAAACCTCAGTGGCTTCTAAATATCTATAGACTTTACCTTATCTCCTAATCGTTCCCATTTGAAACTGCTTTCTACATGTACCAATCTTCTTATTGTCCTCCAAAATATACTACAGTAATTCTCATGTTCATATCTACTCACTCTTAAGAATGACTTGTCTTCCTATCCTTTTCAAATCATATCCATCATTAGCTGAGATCAGAACAAGCCCATCTCTTCCATGAACCTCCTCTATGCAATAATTTTGCACTCTCTCCTCAGAAGTTATTTAATACTTACTATTATTAAAAATACACAAATATCACAAATATGTTATAAATAAACCACTATTTCATTGGCATTTGTAAATTCTAAGTATGAAAAACAAAACACTAATAACAAGACAAAAATATTTTAAGGAAAAGTGTATAGAGTTACCTGAATGTTTTTTGAGGACTCTTGCCAATTCTTCGATAGTTCTTACACAGTCTAATCCCTGCAACAAAAAAAGCACAAACTACTAAATCAAAAATGGAAGACAGGTTCCTAACCTGGTTATAAATAGTTTCCATTACCTTCAGAAATAATAAAATTAATTTCAACTCATTCTATACACATTTTTCCCTTTTTGGCAAGCATTAATTGGTATTCATAGGAAAATCTCCTAAGGATATAACCCCCTCCCATACACTCTGCTTACTAATTGCCTTTGGAGGCTCAACAAAGGCTGAAATTAGAGCCCCCAGAAAAGTCTCTGAACCAGTAAGGATCTCTATTTTTGCCCTCTAGGTAAGTATGTCACTAAAAAGTATCTTATATACCAGAATAAATAAGATAGAGCGTCTGTGCCCTAATTCCTTCTGGGTAGACTTTCGTTACAGTTTAATTAAGAGCTGATGAACTGCTGTGGAGAGTGACTAAGTTCAGACTATTTCTCCACAGTACTAGCCAAAAATACAATATACAAAAGTCGTACAGCTAATGTGAATAAAATATTTCAAATAGATCATATTTAAAAATATTTGGGTTGATCTTTTTCAATATAAGTGTTTTTGATGGATATATACATCCTAGACTATATCTGAAATTTTACTGTAGAAATGCCTTCAAAACCAGTTTATAAGTCATGAAAAAATTCAATCTTGATGATACACAATAAGATCATTCTATATATTGGACCCAATTTTGCTTATCCACTTTATTCAGTGAAGTCAGGCTAGATGATTTTTGGTTATTTTCCCAAATTAGAAACATTGTCAAAAGACAAAGACTTGAAACTAATAAAAGGCATAAAAATATCTTGAGCAATAGCACCATTACTCCTTTGGATATACAGCATTTGGACTGTTAAAAATTTTTAAAGAGTAGGGGTTCAGTACTTCTCAGCTATACCTTTCCCCAGTATTTTATATTTTATAAATGCCTTCATAGTCATTAGGGCTGGACACCTTTTCTGCTTTGTGGGCTACATAGTCTATAACTACTACTGAATAATGCAGTTTTAGAGAGAAAGTGGCAGTGGACAATACATAAATGAAGGGGTGTGACTGTGTTCTAATAAAACTGTATTTACAAAACAGGCAGTGCACTAAATTTAGCCTGTGGGCCATTGTTTATTGACTCTTCACATACACGATCCAAACTGATGTGTGTATCAATCTCCTGAGGCGAGAGGACCAGAATTATTATTTTCATTTTATAGATTATCAACCAAAAATCACATATGTTAGGACTGATGAAACAAGTCTGTCTTCAATTTAAGTCTCTGGACTATAAGTTTAGTTAGCACTCATCACTATTATCTCATTGCCTGCAGCTAACAAACTTTTCAGAGAAACTTATGTAGGTGTATGCATCTAAGTCGGCCTAGTGGCCACGTTAATGGGACAATTGGAGAGCATGGTTTAGCTTTTTTAGAATTTCCAGGTGTCACTTTCACATCTACTTTGTACTACAAGTTGAAAGCACAAGGCTTTCTACTCCTCACATTCACCTCTAAATTTGTTACTGTATTTGTCCACCTAGATTGTGCCAAATAGCATACTCCATATGATATGCCCTGATAAATTTGGAAAATACCCAGCTGTACTGTCAGTCAAGGTTGTCAAATCACACTGCCATAGCAAATGGAAGTTTATGTGGTCACGGTACCTCAGCAGTTTCAAGTCCATTAATTGTCATACAGACGTCAAGGTCACTCTGTTTGAACCCAAATCCATTTTTGGAGGAGCCAAACAAGCTCAATTTAGTTCCTGTTAGGGATATATGAAAAATAATAACTAATTACCTGAGTATATTTAATTTTCAGATTAAAACGGCCCTCTTATGAATCCAAATGCCCAGTTAACTATCCTATATTAATCTCATTATTATTATATTCTTATTAACCAATCATTTGTTACCTTTTCTCAAAATTTACTTCAAATAAAAACATATATGGCATGAAAGAATACCAGGTGCCACTTTATTCTGAAATGTAAGGATACTTCAAGAAAAATGTGGATCACCTCAACATACTTAATATTGTGAGCTTACTATTTTCTAAATAAATTCACATTTTAGAGGCATGAACTTTGATTCTAATACTAAATGAAATTCACTTGTGAATCTGCTAAGAGAAATCATACACTGCAGCTGTCTTCTCAGTTGGCAAACAAGGACTGGGCAGACCAAAGACGATCCATCCTAGGTATATCACAAAACCGAAGGCCTGTCCCCATCTCTGCAAGATCACCTTTTTCTCAAAAATAACATGTTTGTAACACAAGTACACATTCTGAAGGAAAGTCACACTACCTTTCTTTACTTAAAGGTAAAAAATTATTTACCTGGAAACTCCTGTCTTATGAAATTTTCTAGGTTCTGCCGAATATGTTCGCGAGCCTGATCTTCTATAATAGTTGGAGAAAAATCCTCTGTTTAAAATAGAAACATTCAGAAACAAAGATTGTTCACATTCTCTGAAAAACTAAATTTTAATAAAGTAAAACCTAATAGGTTCAAGGAAAAAAACCTCAAATTTTGTGTCTTTTCATTAGACAGCCATAAGCAATAAAGAGGATGCCTTAAAAAGAAAAAAAAAGATTCTAACACCAAGAAGTGCTTCTGAAATGGAAACTAATCTGAACAAGGGTTTTGGTACTGGCTTTCACAGAGACCCAGGACTCTATAAGGGCAGCCTTCAGGAAACTCTCTCAAGGTTTGACTATAAAAGTTTGAGAGCATGTGCATATATATTTTTTTCTAGGAAGAACCCTTTCATAGCTTACAACTTCCAAAAAGGTTTAAAAAATAAATCACTGGTTAAGAACAAGTGTCTTCTAGCATAGACGGACACATTAAAATGTAGCAATGTGATGTCTCAAGTTCTTCCACTCTAAAGCAGTTGCATGCCTCTCCTTTACATGATTTTTCTTTGTAAAACTTTAAACTTCTGTATATCAATGCTTCCCAAAACTGATGCTTCTTAAAGGGCCGTTCAGTAGGCTATTAAATTGGGTTAACTGAAACTATTCTATGCTCAAATTTTGAAAATGTTGGATTAAAGAGTTTAAACAATTCTTTACCATAACATTTCTCAGGCTTTACTATGTTATTATGCTCTGTGAATATCTAAGGGAGGTGGAGCAGTAGGGAGAATTATTCCCTACTTGACTTGTGGAATACTTTTCCTGAAATACTAACTGTACCTAGAAAAACATTTCAAGAAACACCAGTTGAGAAATGACAGTACTCTAATCTTAAGACTTAAAAGATCCTCCCTCCCTGTCTTTCTTTAACTATTATTTACTGCACGTCCCAAATGGAACAGTATCCAAGGAACACTGGATACAATGGAGAATGGAAGAGACTTAGTCCCTATAATGGAGCTAACAGGTTAGTGATTCAGATGACTCGAGAAAACTTAAATGTAATATTTCAACAAATTAAAAGAAATGTTAATAACTTACTATAACACTGGATGCAAACTTGATCTAGAATATTTGAAAACTTGGGTGTTAATGGTGGCAAAGGTTCCAGCTGAATTCTTTTGAAGTCTTCAGGACAATCTTTCTTTAGATGACCCTCTCTTTTGCATAAACTGCACACTACAGTAGGAGACTGCAGGAAGATGGTAAAGTAAAACGAGATGTAAGATAAACGTTATTTGCCAAAAAGGGGACATAAACCTTTTTTTAAAAGTACAATCAACTCTTCACTTTCCAAAGGAATGAAAATATAATGTGCAGCCATGGCAAAACTATCCAAGATGGGGGCGCCCTGATGACATAGTCAGGAGGAAAAGGCAGTTATTTTCCTTACCAACAGCATTCCCTTTCTACTATGCAAATTCTCATGAGTCTAAGGAGGAAAGTGGACCAAGTGGTTGTATTAGAGTGAAAGAACAACTCGTTAAACACTACCAAAACGGGGGAAAGCCCTGTTCTAGCCCATGCAATTGAAATCACACGCTTTACGACTGTTTTAGGTCTCCCAGTTCTATGTCTAGGAGGGGCATTGATTACCTACCTTGCCTTTGGTGAAGATGAGTTTACTAAATTCATAGAAAAAATCAGATGAACCCACAGTTAAATTTTTCTCACATACATTTTCTTCCTTAAGACTGATTTTATTAAGTTCCATTAGTAGAGTTCCATCCACATCTTTTCCACATTCTTTCAAGTCTTCATACTCTGCAGACGCCCCTACTTCCTCATCCTCTTCAGACAGGGCACCCTCATCCCCTGATGCAGTGCAGGCGTTGTCTAACTCATCTGCATTATCAATGTCATCCTCGTCTTCCCTTCGAGTAACAGAAAGCCCAGGGTCCTCGTCCTCATCTTCTTCATCAGAGTGAATGACTCCTGATGTCTGGCCCTGTCTTGAGGGGGCAAAGTGACTTAGAGTTTCTTCTAGTTCATCAGTACCTTCTAAGCTTTCAACATCAACAACAGCCTTGTTATCTAAAGTAGAAAATCCATCACATTCTCTAGCTGCAGGATTTTGGAAGCCTTCTAAATCCAAACTGCTGTCTGTCTCAGTATTTTGTGTGCTACCGGAGACAACAAGCTCTCCACATTTGCTACTGCTTAAGTCTTGATCATCAGTAGTCAAAGGATGCTTGCCCTCCCCTCCAATTTTTTCTTTCTCAATTTTACTCCCTGTTTCTTGATGGTGTACTTTACCATTCTCAAGATCGTCACAACTGACCTCTGCCTTGATACAGTCTGAGTTTTCCAGTTTCCTCCCATGTGTGTTTCCTGTTTCCTCCATTGGTGGGCTTCCAAAGCTTTCAGCAGTCTCTTTAAGAGTAAGTGGCTGTACCTTGCAGGTGTTTGCAGCTGAGATGGCAGCACCAGGATCTTGAGCCGAAACTGAGTTTTTGAGTTTATCATTTTTTGCTTGTACATCTGGGTCATGCTTTGCTACTTCTTTAGAATGTTCCGAAATACAAGTAACAGTACCCAGAGGCTTTGGAAGGCTGGATTTTGTAATTCTGTGTGGGAGAGCAAAATATTTATACGTTGTCCTTAAACAATGAAGTATATATTCAAACACGGGTTGATTATTTAAGGTCCTTGCCACATTCCTTTTAACAGAGTAGGGATCTGCAACGAAAAAAAAAAACCACTACTGCATTCACTTGTATTTCAAGTTTTAAAAAGTAGCCTGCTATTAATAAGACAACAAATAGACCGCAAAATTAGTACGTATCTTATATATGCTTTTAAAAAATTGGGAGTACAGAGTAAGAAGACACAGTTTAAGAACAAAAAGAAATGTTTTCTTAAATGTCTGCTCTATGAGGAGAACCCATTCTGTTCAGAACCAGTACCCCTTCCCTATTTTGTTCTGTGACTGTGGAGGTAAGAAAGATGTCACCAATGTGGCTCATGTGCCCTGGGGAAGTGAGGGCTTCCCGCCAGGCTCTGCTGAGTGCTCTGCCTCCCCACTCAGCCAGGCCCTGTGGTTTGTAGAGCTTACCTCCACTCTTCTGCCCTGGAAAGCCCCATCACTGAACTGGCTGGACTGAATTCAGGGGCGAGAGGGAGGCACCAGGAGGAGACACCACTTCTCTCAATCTTTTCTCCTCCCCTAGAACTCCAGCAGGTTAGGCAATTGGCCAGAAGAGCTGAGCCAGAGAAACTGCAGGGGAGGGTTTAAAAATGTGAGATCCCCAAGACTGCACACAGAATTTATGCAAAATGCAAAATGCAAAAAAAAAAAAAAAAAAAACCCTCTTATGCAATATAAAGCTTGAAAAAAAAAATCAAGCAAAAATAAGAGAATTCCATTTAGGAGGTTCTTTAAATTATTTGAAGGAGGAGAATTAAGATTTCTAGTGGAGTTTCAACCTTCTGACTTTGAAAAGATGAGAAGAGCTAGTCCATTTAATGATGTCTATGAGGCACATCAGTGTGTCTTTTATACAGTGGTTTGTTACATGAGCCTTCCCTAGAAAGAGTGCTTTTTATGAATAAGTTCTAAATGTTATTGCAGATATTCTAAAACTAACTACCCTTTCTACGGTGAGGAATCCAACCAAGTGTTATTTTTCATGAGAAGAAGTATTTTCCTCAACCTTTGTAAATCTAAACAACATCAACAACAATCCATGAAAGGACTAAATCTAAAAATCCAGAAATGGGAATAGTAAAAGAGGAAATGGGGACTCACACATCACAGGAGAAAACTTTTTAAGGGTTAAGTTAAGCAACTTACTAAGAAAACAAGGACTCAGCCAGCCATTATTTTAGTTGCTTAAGTAATTAAGATGTTTCAATGCTGTACTTTAAAAACCCAAAACGAACAGTTTGGTTCCCTGGAATGACCCATGTGACTGTAACACATGCAAGATTCTAACTATTTATTTACTTTTGGGGTTAGGCCTACCTTACATGTAGGAGCTGAAAAGGGAATGAAATAAAAATCATGCTGTTAGACTGGTACCTTAAAAAAAAAGGAATTAAAGATAAACATTTTGAGATACCTTCAATGGCAATGCGCTTTTTGGGCCAATCCTTTGATTCACGAGATATCAATTCTTTGACTCGGATACTTATCACTAAATCGGCCAAATTAAATTCTAAAGCATAGAATCGAAGCAATTCCACCCAGAGCTGCCCAACTGGTACTGAAGGCTGGTGTTTTAAATCAAATATTAATGATACCTATTAATAACAAAGAGAAAACAGGTTATTTCAGATGTCAGCATAATCTGAAAAATTAGAGCTCATTCAAGCATCAAATTTTTAAAAATCTAAAAAACCTTTGCAAAGATACAAATTTGACAATCTATTTATATAAATCACATTCGAGGTTCTATTTTGCTAGTGGGAAAATAACATCCCTTCACTGCACTCCTGGGATAAGAGTACTTTTAAATCTAGTCATTATAGGAATAGACAAGCAGTTATATGTAACCAGGCAGCACTCCTAATTTTGACATCTTAATGACAGGTGGAGAGAACTGTGCATTGGCTTCTATTCTCAGCACTGAGTTCTCCCTGTTTATGCCACTGGAGGGCGCCTTTACACAGTTACACAAATGGGTGGCAGGCAGCTAAAGGCAAAGCAAAAGGAAAAATATTCATTTGCTCTGAGAAGCTGCACTAGCTCACTGAATTGGCTAGTGATTAGAAAGTCAAATAATTCTTGATTATCAGAAATTAATATTAGTTTTACATTCACAGACTCTTGACAAGTTGGAACATACTGTGATGTAATATATTAGAAAGTCCATAGGACTTAGAATAGAAAAAAAAAACCAAAACGGGTCCAATACTAATTCTGCCATTCATAATTCTAAACTGCTGTAACTTAGCTTCTTCATTCTCAGTTGGCAGTATAATACAATGGCTAAGAGAACTGGCTTTGGAATGGGATACACTTAGGTCTGAAATCCAACTCTACCATGTACTAGCTGTGTATGATCCTGGTCAAGGTATATAAGCTGTCTAAGCCTCAGTTTCCTCATCTGAATAATGGGGATCAAAGTACCCACCTCAGAGGGTTGTTGGGAGGACTGAGTGAGAGAGTGTCTGTAAAGAGCTTAGCACAGTGCCTGGTACACATGTTCAAAAAATGGTCGCTATCATTATCTGCAGAGTAGGGATGATACCACCTATAACACAGGATAGTTATGAGGATTAAATCAGAAACAAGGGAAAGCATCTAGCAGACTCGGTTGCTCTGTTTTTTTTTTTTTTCACTTAGGTATTATCTTTTAAGTACAAGAAATCCATTTATCATTGAAACATAATGTCACAACTGTAAGATGCTCTTAAGAGGTAATCTAGTTCAAATGCCATATATTACAAGAGAAGAATTGAAGCTCAAAGAGTTTACGTGACTTGTCAAAGGTCCCACTGCTTGCCAGTGGCAGGAGAATAAGGTCTCCCATCCCAGTACAATGCTCTTTCACCATACCATGCATTTTCAACAGTGTCTAGATCTCACTGAATTTCAGAAGTGGCATGATTAATTGGACTTACAGCAATAGCTTTTTCTTTTAAGACATACAAATTTGTTTCCAATTGCACTTTATATTATATCGAGCCTCAAAACAAATGGTATGGTGTTGTATTAATCACTACATCTCAACCACAAAGGTTCTGTCAGATAAGACAAAGTCATTGGGTGGATTTACAAAGCAGAACTGATTGAAATGCAAGTTGTCTAGGTCCCAAATGCTATTGTTTAGGACACAAAGAAACCCCCAGAAATTGAAAGCCTATTTAATTTCACCTCTTTATCCATAAGCCATATTCAAACATTACTAAGAGATTTTAAGCATCTCACTGAAAGGACTTGATAATACCATAACATGGGACTTTAGAGACCTTTGACCTATCTAGACTAGTGGCACTTCAGCTGTTTTTTTGGTTATTGTTTCTGTTTTTTTAAAGTAGAGAACACTTTCTTTTTCGGCACTGAGTTAAGCATTCTATAAATCAATGACCCTATGAGAGGGTACCAATATCATCCCCCATTTATAGGTGAGGAAACTGGGGCACAGAAAGATTAAGTCACTTGCCAAAGGATACATAAGCTAGGAAGTGGGAGAGCTGGGATACAAATTCACATATTGGCAGTAGCCTGTGCTCTGCTACAGCCTGTGCTCTTATCCATTACTGGAACTCGAAATAGAAAACAGACAAAAGTGGTGCTGTTCTGGTGGCAGTAGGGGTAGAGAGGTACCACACCACCTCCCTCTTCTACCTTCAAGGATTCTAGAAAACACACTGGAAAACCTGTGATTCGACACTATCTTCTCATTTTAGGCACAAACTAGAAGAGTGACATGACTTATTTGTGTAGAGCTGGGATTAAAATCCTGGTCTCAGAAGTATTTTGTGGATGTTACTGTCATTTCACTCCAAAGGGTTATAAAGAAAATTGTGGGAGCAGGGACCATTGACCAATTCGGGGCAGAATCCTATTCTTATTACTAATATAATTACACTGCTCAGAATTTTTGTTTGAAATTCAAATGGCAATTCCTTCCTAGTGCATAAATTCCCTGGCCTACCTCTAATGGTATGAATGGGGACAAGTTCATTAAACCGTATACTTATTGTTATTTTAGTAATTTGAGGTTAGCTTTTCATATATTTAAACCTCATAATACCATCTAAGACCTATGCTCTTTGAGGACAGAGGGATTTATCTTTGAATTCTGTTTCTTTCACAGGACCCTGTACACAGAAGAACGACATAAATAACTGTGCATCTAATGATCTGAATTTTACCCTTTCTCATTACTATTCAAAGGACTGAACAGACCAGAAAATAAAACATCCATGAAACAGTTAAGATAGTTGAGGAAAAAGGAGAACTCATTAACTCATAAACTCTACAATTGATAACTGAATTGAAATTAGACAGTAAAATTAGAAATGAGAGGGAACAGACCTGTCCCCTTTTAACAGGTATGTCTTTCGGTGCCTCCTCTTTTGCTGTGTCTGCACCTGCTGCAGCATTATCAGTGTATTCCCAGACCACAATGTCTTTCTCAATGTCTTTAAGGTTGAAGTTGCCCAGTTTGTTTAGTGAGAATCCTTCAATCTAAGAAAAATTAGACATACATTATTATAAAGTAGAAACCATTTTATACCAGTCAGAACATATTAATCTTGAAATGAAAAGATACTTTAGTTCATTGAAAATATAAAAGTTATTGTTTATGAAAAAAAGCTTTGATTTGCAAAAGAAATGGTGATTTTTGTGATACAACTCATTAGTAAATAGTCTAATAGAAGGCAACACAGCCGAGGCCTAAGGCCATGGGTCCTGTAGTAAAACTGCCGGGGATGATCATCTCAGCACCCTCAAGTACTAGCTGAGACCTTCAGTAAGGTACTTACTTTCTTTAGGCCTTAGGTTTTTGTAAAAAGGGATAACACTAAAACCTCCTTCATGGAATAGTTGTGACATGAAATAACGGACATAAAGGATTCAGGTATAGGATATGGCATGTAGTAAAAGCTCAGTAAACATAAGAAATTATTTCTACTGATACTGTTGAGAAGCAAATGGCTAAAAATTAGTCTGAGCTCAAAAGGTCTAAAAAATGTGGAAAAAACCTAAACAGGTTTCTTTATTGTACAATGGGACTTATCACACCCATTAAAAAGGTTAATGTATATAATGAGTTGTGTGGTGAGGTATGAATGTGGTATCATTTCTCAAATATATTTTCCTATCAAATGGACTGCTTCTTGGGTTTAGCAGAGTAATCCTTCTAAAACAAAAGATATCATGTCACTCCCCTGATTATGATGGTTTCCTTCTTACTCAGGATGAAATTCACAGTCCTTTCCAGGGCCTAGAGAAGGCCCATGTAATCTAGTCTTTTGCTACTTCTCTGACCCATCTTCTCTATCTTCCTGGCTCAGAGCTAACATCTGCTACTCCCTCTACCTGGAACCACTCCCTCCACCCCGCTACCCGCCACAAACAATCAGCCCATTCTCCCTCACTGCATTCGGGACCTGCTCAAGTATCTTTTCCTCTCAACCAGCAGTCCCCAACTTTTTTGGCACCAGGGACCAGTGTTCCTCTGAGAATCTAATGCCTGATGATCTGAGGTGGAGCTGAGGTGGTGATGGGGAGCGGCTGCAAACACAGATGAAGCTTCCCCTGTTCACCTACCACTCATCTCCTGTGTGGCCGGTTCTTAACAGGCCACGGACTGGTACTGGTCTGCAGCCTGGGCTCTCACAGCTCCTCTCCATTCACTTTCTGTCCTTCTTTCCCTGGTTTATTTTTCCTCAGAGGATTTACCGCCACTGGATATGTACTAATTTATCTTTCTCACCGCATTAGATATACAAACTCGAGGATGAGAATGTTGTTTTGTTCACTGCTCCTAACTTTAGTATCTAGAATAGTGCCCGACGCAAGTAAAATGCTCAGTAAAAATTTGCTAGCTGAAATAATCAACCATTCTCCTACAGAAAACACTCCAGAAAACACGAGTTGCAGTGACTGTTCATTACATATATGTATTCAATATATTTTTTTCAATTCTGTGGCTTACAGTTTTGATTTCCTGATGGTTTTTGAAGAATAAAAGTTCTAGAAGAGTTTATCAATATTTTTCTCTACTGATATGGTTTGTGCTTTTAGTGTTCTACCTAAGAAAGTCTTGTCTATACCCAGGCTGTAAAGATTTTTCTCCTAGGCTTTCCTCTGGGAGTTTAATAATTTTAACTATTACATTAATGTCTTTGATTCATTTTGAGTTAATTTGGGGGTATGTTGTAATACAAAAGTTTGATGTCCACTTTTTTCCTTATGGATATCTGGTTTTCCAGCATCAACTGTTGAAAAGACTTTCCTTTCCCCCAATGAACTGCTTAATTCATTGCTTAATTGGAAGAAACTGGAAATTGTTTCATCGGGAAAGTCATTCAGACTGTCACAGACTTCTACTTGGGTCTGACAGAAAGTGTTACCAATTAATGCTTGACTGTTCTCTCACTCTTTCTCCTGGGAAAGCAGTCTAACAGAGATACCTTCTTAAGGCCCTCAATTCTTTTATTTCAATACCACAAACACAAAGAGAGCTCCCTTTAGGCAACTGAGACACACAGCAGACTGCAATCTCTTATTCCAGGACAGTTTGTAAGGGGCTTTATCCTGCTTTAGTCTTTATTCCTAGGGCTTGGCACATAAAGGTGCTGCTTAATTCTCAATTTATTAAGTATTAAGAAAAAATTCCCTATAATATTTTTTTGCTGTTACCCAGTTAACATGCTAAGTAATGAGAATCTTGCACATAGTTAAAAGAAAGGTAGTTAAAATACCCAACGGGCCAAAGTTCTCTTATCACCAAATAGACTTTCTATAAAATAAGTGTACACATATGATTTTATAAGCTAAAACACCCAGGGATTAAAAGTGAGGTATCCAAGAGGATAAGAGTAACATCATTTTCACTATGAGATGGCTTATTCTTAAATCTTATTATATGAACAAATCACCTGAACTTTATCTGGAAAGAAAGAGTGGTCATAATACTGAGGTCAAATTCATTTTAAAGACAATACCAAAGTATTATTCAAGACTTGACTAAGTTCTGTGTCTTGTGGTATAGGTAGCAACCTCCAAAACTCAACATGTATTTTCTTTCATTTCGCTGGGAATGGGGAAGAAAAGAACTTTATATAAGACTAGGAACAGAAAGTTTTAGTGAACCAAATGCTTCCTACAGTCTATGTGGTGATAACAGTAAATTCAAGTATCGAATTATAAACTGTACCCAAAGAAAGTGTGTACCAAATGACAAATTTAATACAGGTACACATTCTCTGTCTGAAGTCCTCAGGATCATATGTGTTTTGCAAACTGAGTTCTTTTTTTCAATTTAGAAAAACACAGGGCAGCATCTTGTAAACAAATACATTAATATTGTGGCAATGAAAGGTATGAATACCCACACTAGTAGGATCAATAAATTCATGTCCGCTCTGGTTAGGTTTTTAGATTTTGAAATTATGCATAAGGGATTGTGGCCCTGTAATAAAATAATAGATCAATAAGCAAAAAACTTTCATACCCATGATCCTAGATAAACAGGCAGAAGGGGTTCTTTCCTTTGTTGAAGAAAGAAAACGGTCATCAGGGCAAACACATAAGGTGGCAAACCTCCTTCTTCAGGACGATCTATACTGCAAAGCTACAAACAAGAGAAAAGAGGACAAGCATTCTTTTGTACCAACTTCGTCATTTACGTAATTTGGTCTAAAATCTGTAACTTCATTTCCTTGTATTATATGATTTACTCTTCAAATAGAACACAGCAGTGACAAAATGTAAAATTTCCTTAATGTTTTTGGAGCAACCACATATTGTGATTTTAACAGCTTCAATTTCAAATTTTTAATCTTGTTAACCAAACTTACTCATGAAAGGCCCTAAAATATTTGTTTTATATTTTGACATCCATTGTATATCCATTCACTTGGGTAAAGCACTCATTAATAAAGTCAAAATGATGATTTGATTCCAACTGGCTTTGCTCAGTTTAATGGGCCCTTCAGCCTAACCTGCCTTGAAAATGCATCCTTTGACCAAATAGGTAATTAGGGGATAGAATATGGGCAAATTCATTAGCGGTAACAGAAACAACTAATAAGCATGGCCTACTTAGTGATAAAGCAGGAAGAAGCTTTCAAAGAATGGAATATTGTAACTATCAATTCCCCCAGATGAGAGTGGGGCACTCATTTTCTGTTCATCCTGAACTCAAGCAACGGGAACTATGTATTGTTACTGTTATATCTAAATTAGTAAAGCTTTGGTTTTTCTCCATTAAGCACCTACGCAGAATCTCAATTTTATAATCACAATGGGATCTTACATTTCGGGGCAATGTTAAATGCTCTAATAAACATTTCATAGAGCATTTCAATTAGGATGCTATAGTTATGTTATGGAAATGGAAGACCAGACTGCAGCTTTCAGTTTTGGAGTCTCTGAGTATATTATTGGAAATGGAGCTTTATCTCAAACTTTCTTGTGCCTAAGAATCACCTCAGGAAACTAGTTAAAATGTAAATTCTTCGGCCATATCTTCTAGGATTTGACCCACAAATCTTATTTTTAATAAGCACTATAAATCATTTTGATCTTTTGGGCAATACTGTTTAAGTGAAAAATAAACACTAAATTTCCCTTTTGGTGCACCTTAAAATTTGTTCCAATACTCAGATGCCTACTCTCTTGATGTCTATAAATATGTATCCAAATGTTTAAGATTAACCAAGTAAAAATCAAAGCACATTGTTTATACATCATACACAGAATGTATTCATGCATTTAAGGAACTCAAAACCTACCTTTGCCCAGTACCTAAATGCAATCACCAAAGGAACCAGCTTTGATTCTAGTTTTCCAAGGGAAGTTAAATGATTTGTTGTCAGACAAGCATTTTCATTTCCTGCACTCACTTTACAAAGAAGACCACTGTTGAGGGTATGGGTAAAGGTAAGAAGGAAAAAGACAAAGATAAAAAAATGTTACATAGGTATCAAGTACATTTTATGCCAACAATAACTAATTTTATATTGATAATAAATATCTTAAAAATGAAAATAAAGTAAAAAAACTCACGAAATCTTTATGGGTCATTTAAGAAACTGGATTTAAAAGATACAAAAGCTATTTTCTAAGTAAATTTTATTTTTTTAAACTAAAACTTTGTTTTCATATACTAAAACTATTTTAAGGAAATGAAAATAAGGAAAATACTGTAATTGTTTGTAAAAGAGTTTTCCCAAGAGACGAAAGAATCTGCCCAAGATGGAAGAATCATTACAGCCTATAAACCACCCATATATAGTGTTGATGGTAATACTTCCAGATAGAGGAAGAGATAAATGAGTGAAGTCTTTATTTATTATTTATTTATTATTTAGCACTGCTAAAAATGCTAAGGATGACAATTTATAAAGGTGATTAGAGCAAGTAACTATTTGATAAAGTTGTTTTTTACCAAGTTGAAATGGGTCAAAATGCTTTCTTCCTATATTTTTTCCTTTTAAATACTTTTATTCTTTTATTAAAATACTGTTTTCTTTTGCATCAATTACCAAAAGGATAGGAAGAATGCTAGTAAGTGTGTGAAATTAACCACATAAAGAATTTATCATTCTAGAAGTTGGACATTAAGATTTAGTGAAATACATGTGCTTTGGCAAGTTGATATTTAATATATAAGTAGCTTAAAAAAACAGACCTTTGCTTTTCTTTGCATACCACCACTGGCACCCTAGCATGGAAATCTGCATCAACATCAGTAAAAGAATCTGAGGAAAGAAGAAAAAAAATATTAAGTAGGTCAATTAAACCTTTGTTTAAAAACAGAACTAGATAAAGTACAAGTACCTATTGTGGCTTATTTGTTCGGCCTTTTTAAAGACCATTACTAAATAAAACTGAGATGACTTGAAAAGCAAAAAAGTAGTATATTCAAGAATCAAGTAATCACATTAAAACACTTATTTTGAAAACTAATGCATGATTAAAAATGACTACATTATTCAATCAGAATATTTAAATGTTATATGACTAACAATTAGAAATAGGAGAAAACATCCAGAGAAAATCACTCCCAAAAGCTACTAAAATATTTGTGGTCAAACAACATACTGACTAAAGGAAGAAAATATGTTTATATACTTAATTCAACAAGAAGAATGGGAAAGACTAATTCAAGAGATAAGGCAGTCTGATGAGGCCTATGGAAAGCATAAAAAGCCACAAATAAAGCCCCAAGCTGGGCATTACCTGGACAACTGACAAATTGACCAGGAATAACCATTTGTTGATTCATTAATCAGGGTTGGGTCACATACCTATTTACCATTTGTAAAGTATTAATTTAAACCATTGAATAAAGTATATCACCCTTTTGTCTTACCCTCAAGAATAAAGTTTACATATTGTGTCTTTTTATTCTTGGTCTGGGACTCATTTAATCTTTATAAACTGTGATACTGCCACCAAGCTAAAAGCTTTACTTACAAAATGGTTATTCTGCATAATAGAACAACTAACAGGACTCTAACTTGCTAATAGTTCATGGGCATTCACTTTGGTTTTCATTTGGATATTATCCATAAAAATAATTTAAAAAACATGACTTCCTATCTCCAAAGTTTTGGAAATGATATATTCAAAATATAGACAAAACAAACACTTAAGAGCAAAGTGTGGAAAGAATTTGGCCTTACCACTGTTCTTTAAACATTCCTGAACGAGTAAGAGAACATCTGGTTGAGACATCTAGAAAAATAAATTGATAAATACATCAAATAATCTATAAGTACTTCTGCTTCTGTTATCTGAAGTTATTCAAACTGCTTTTCCAAATTAGAAAGCACATTGTTTCCAGAGTAAAGAAATTAATCGTTATGCCGTGCGCACGTCAGTCAGGGACAGAGAAATGAGCACCAAACAAGGATGAGTGCATGCAAAAGGAATCTACTACACAGTTAACTCCTGATTAACTAATTCCTGAGATAATTAGCCTCTCTGCAAATCTCAAAGTTGTGGCTAGACGGTGTCTAACTGTAAACAATAATATCTCTCACTCTTAAGACTACTTCAACAGATCGCTTACTCGGTCTCCACTTTAGTCTTGCCTTTCTCCAATCCTTGCTCCATTTAAAATCATGAATTAGATCTAGTCATAGCCCTCCTTAAAACTCTCAAAGGATTCTTAGTGCTCTTAGGTCAAATGAAATTCTTTACCATGGCCTACAGTGTCCTGTATGTTGAGCCCCAACCTACTTCTCTGCCCTAATCTTATACTCTTCCTTCTCTTGGTTCCTTTACCACAGCTATACAATCCTTCCTTTAGCTCTTTGAACAAGTCAAGGTCCTTATTGATTCAGGGTGTTTGCAAATGCTGTTCTCTGTTCTCGAGACACTCTTTAACCCTTTCACTATCCTTACCCTTTTATCTTTTAGAGCTCAGCCTAAATGTTATCACTTCAAAGGGGCTTTCATGACTCCTGCATCTGCAGATTCCTTATTTTCTGGTTCAGAACCTTATTTCCCTGCATAGCTCTCATAATTAATTACAGGTATGTAATTACTTATCTCCTCCACTAAGTATGAGTTCCACAAGGGAGGAATCATGATCTCTTTTGTCCTCTAGAATCTAGTATAGTGCCTGGCACACAACATAGACTCAGTGACTATTTGCTAGGTGAATGAATAAGATCAAAATAATTGCTATGCTTGTAAATTACTAACCATAATTTAAGGTTAAAAGAATAGTAAAACCTATTGGTCAGCTGACCATGGAGCCATAGCAGCCAGGGATGGCAAAGGAGGAGGTTGTAAAAAAGAACATCTGCAGGTGGGGGTCAAGGAATTTGTATTTTTAACTAGCAACCTGGGTAAATGGGCATGAACCATCTGCAAACCTGCCTGTGAGAACCAACAGTGGAAAAATGAATAATCTACTAATATGCCTTCCAATTTAAAATCCTGACTCATCAAAAGCTTTCTGAATGATGTTTAAGCCAGAAAGCTAGGTTAGGTGTGGTTCTTCAAAAGCATAATTATTTTAACAAAGCAGGTGTATAAAAGAGGAAACACAGGAACAAATTAAGCTTTCAGGTTTCCCAGATGTTTACATATCTATACTGTTTAAAAACTGAAATCTTTTCCTTCATTGGAAAGTTGACTTTACCAAGATAATTTAATCTTTTTAAGTTAACAGAACCTAAATAACCTCATTAGATTCACATGAACAGACTTGAGTGTTTGAATTATAAAACATTTATAAAGTATGAAAAGCTATAGAATATCAAAAGAAATGCTCTAAAACTGAAGACAGGCAGAACATAAGCTGCCACCATTACACTTAAACTGTCTTCAAATACCTAAAATATATTCATATGCAGCTCACATTTGAAAAAATTTCTGTATTACGCTGTGAAAATTCCAACATCTCATTTTATACTTACTATGGCTGGAAACTGAACGTCAATGTTTACATCTGAATTTTTGAAACCCAATCTGCTACAGGATGACCCATATAATCTCAGAGAACAATCTAAAAAAAAAAATTGAATAACCGAAAGTTGTAAATAAAATTAATTGAAAGTTATACCAAAACACTGCTATTTTAGAAATGAAACCGTCAATTAAAACAATACACAAAAGCAAAACAGTATTCAAGACCGGCATACATAGGAAATTTTTTTTAGAGTGACTCTTTTCTCTTGCCTTCATTTTATTTTATTTAACAGGGCAGGCTCCATTGACAGTGGTTTAACTTAAGAGCCACTCTTCATGTCAGTTGTAAAACATGTTTAAAAATTCTTAAATTATCATTTCACATTTTGTGCAGAAAATACTATTTGCTACTTTTTAAGCGCTGAAAATGTTAAGTAAAAAAAAAATGCCTAACTTTGTTTTACATTTCTAAATTTGATAGTATACTAAAGAGTTAATGCAAACATTTCACCTTTTAGATAGCACACATAGGTGTAAATTACAAAGATGTTTCTGTAAACCAATAATCATAAAAATGACCCACAGCTTAAAGTTACTTTTCAATAAGAATACTCATTACGTTATAATATAATCCTTTTAAGAAAACTTTTGAAAAATAATTGTATCATGGTTATAATTTAAAATGCTAGGCAACATGTGATTCACTTTTCAGAGGACAATGTGTGTGTATGGGTACCACCTATATTTATTTATGGCATTTTTTTCCTCAATGTTTTACCACTATTGTGCCAAAAAGTTATACCTTCTCAATAGGGAACTTTTTTTTTCTTCTTCAGGTTAAGTCAGGTGATTTCTTAGGACTCTAACAGTTTCCCATGAAAAAAAGTACATTCAATTTTACAATGGAAATCTATAGCAAAAATCATCAATTAGAAATGACTTTTCAGGAACTGCCTACGACACAAAGCATGAGGTACCTATACAATGAAATGAGCAGATTCTCACCCTTTATTTTTATGAAAGTATATATGAATATGAATGATATTTAATAATTTAAATAGTGATTCCAACCCTAGCTGTGATTCAGAACCACTTGTGGAACTTCCTAAAAAATGATTTTCCATGACTTCACAGACATAACATGGAAAAGAAATTCAACAGTACACAAAATCTATTATAAATTAGTTTACGGAGCTCATTTTAGATGTTGTAATTCTTTTAATGTGGTTAAACAGAATCTTTTTTAGACACAGATAACCTGAAAATGACTCCAGGATACTTCTTCTCTTTAACTCAAAATATTGTATCAATTTAAATAGATAGAAAGGTAAACAAATATATACAGAAGGGTCTCATAGCACCACAATAATATGGGGCATTTAATTTCAAGTACATAAACATAATGAAATTCACAATGAAAACAGATTTAATGACAATGCACGTAAAAGTTTTTGCTACCTTGAGAGAAGCCAGGAAAAACAAAAACACAAAAAATTAAGAGCTTCAGGACATGGCAAATCAATTTCTATTAGGTGAACATTACTAGTAGGAAAAATGAATGAGGCACTTCAGGTAGCTAAATAGAAAAACAATTCTAGAAAATACCTGGTAACTTGTGTTGGAACACATTTTCCATGATACGTTTAATTTCTAATCTCTGTTCCAAGTTCTCACTGTGTAAGCCAAACTCCTGTACCACTTTGTCAATGGCAGTACCAATTGCGTTTATCTGGGAGGGCGTCGGCGGGGGTAATGTAGTGAGCAACTCTTCCTCTTGCTTCTCCTTTTAAGATCAATGTTGAGATTAAAAATGACTCACATGTTTTTTACCTGCTATCATTTACCAAGACAACATTCCGTAGAATACTCTGGAATACTTTTCTTAGTCCTCCCTCACTCTAGCTGTGTTACGTCTTCATCTTACCAAACATACACACACTGCTTTATGCACATCAAGTGATAAGACAGAAGGTAGGAATAAGGAAAAAATATGCAAGGAAAGAACATCAAGAGCAGCAATGACAATTTTTTTGCTTTATTGTTACTGGCATAAAGACATATACTTATCAATGTCCTATCAATGACTTCATTCGTCCTGATTCTGTCCTTAAGGAAATTCACAAGACTACCCAGCAAGACATATCTGACCAGTAAAAAGTATTTTGGTGAAAGTAAATTCAATATTGTAAATAGTGTTATTAATATCAGAGCCTAAAGGAGAGGAAAGTCACAAATTATTGAGAAATAACAACTGATAGGTAAACCTATTTGTTTGGGTTACATTAAACTTACCTTAATGTTTTTCTTGTGCCTTTTCTCTTTGATATGCTTATGGGCAAATGCAATGGATTCAATTAAAACATCACAAAGTTTGCAGGTGTACTTTGCTGTAGGGTAGTTTCTTGGTCGCTATAATTTAAAGAGATTTATAGTGACATATATATATATATATACACACATATATATATTTATCTCCAAAAATACAGGTCAACCAAAATTAGCTGGAAAATTTCCCCTTCACTTTAAAAATTGTTAATACGTTATTGTCACTCTTCATTATTTCAACAGTCATTTTTATTTAAGTAATTCTATGAAATCAAACTGATTGTCCCTTTTAACTTTTAGTGCTTAAATACTAATAACTACAGAATATCTAATTCATCAAAGCACAGATTTCCAAGTACTAACATAGTTTAAACCAAATGAAGAATTTTAACAATGTTACCCTTTTCAGCCTGTCAATGCAGTCTCTTTTCAGTCGCTCTTCAGCCTGCTGTAAGCCCAGGAGCTCCTTCATTGAAAGCACAGACTCGTCAATCACAGGGCCTTCTAAGTCTCCGTCTTGTTCATTTTCCTCATTTCTAGTCCTCCGTGGCTTCCTAGGTCTGGACCTCTGCTTCTTGTTTTCTTAAGTTAGGGGAAAAATTTTATTTGCAATATAAAACAATATCACTCTGAGTAAAAAGCAGAACTTACATATTTGTTAATTAAATCGTGTGATATCTGAATAATATCCAAACATGAGGCAAAGAAAAGGTATAGCTCTCCCATGGATAAAATGCTTGAATACTCATTAAGTACTTCATTTGGAAACATCAATCCATAGAAATCATCTTTTTGGAAAACTTAAAAATTCTACTTCAATAATACAATTTGATTTTATCATCTCTTCCTAGTATACTGCTGAGCATAGTCAAGTAATGGTAAAAATTACCTCTAAAGGTAAGTATACCTGTAATTCTAATATACCCAATATACCACAATATATAACATATATGTATCTACTATATTCTAATATACCTGTAAGTTTACCTATTATTCTAATGAAAACTATCCACATTTGCTTTCATTTCTTATAAGGAAACAAAATCAACAGAGCAAAGATAACAAATATATCTCCAGAGAACTCAGAAATCAACTACATTGTTATCTGCAGTGAAAATCCATCTTTAGTTGTAAATTTTGTCTTCACATAATTGGGCCATCGTCCAATATCAAGAAGTCCTAGCCAAAATTTTATTTACTGAGGACAACTATTGCCCATTTTACCTTTACTTTCATTTTAGCATCTTTGGTGGCCTGTATATTGAGCACATTTCAAAGGAAAGAAACAATTAGCAGATGAAATAAGTTTTCTGCCAGTAGACTAATTAATTTGTTTATAGACTGTGCTGTTCTACAATCCTAATAAATGAATTTGTTCCCTTTTTTAAATAAAACTTTTCAACCTGTGAAACTGAAGATGACTGTGGAGTTATCTATAAAAAATTTTTTTAAATAACTTTGATAACTTCCATCAAGGTCTGAAGGTGAAACTATTAGTAATGTGAGATTAAAATTAAATTCATTTCCCCAATTAAAATTGTGAGAAATGGGTTGAATAGTTTTCAAGTGAATTACCAATAACTAGTCTTTAAAAATGTACATCTACTAAAATGCCCTGCATGAGGCAATTCCAGCCAAGTTTTCAATGGAACTCATTACTTGTATAGCAGTTACAATGACTCAGTTGATCAAAAAAAATTTGTCAGAAAAGGTAGGCATAGGATCTCTCATTTAAAAAAGCTATTGCTAACAGCTCTAAAGGAAAAGCAGCAAGCATTGTGCTCAAACTGCTATAATATGATGACTACAATGGAATTCTGAAAACAGTTTCTTTACTACACTGAGTGGCTTAAATTTAAACAAAATTTAAAAAGTATTAGGACAAATAATTTTTTAAAAAAGCAATCAAAATGGATGAAACAAAATACTAAAAGGTAAGTAGTCATTTGAAGAGAAAATTAGTCTACCTTAAAACTTGCTTTTAAATACTCCTTTACTCCCAATTAAATTATCAGTCTTTTAAGGACAGTACTCTTGGTCTGCCTAAACTTTTGAGATAAGCACTTCTTTTAACTATTCTCATTCAATTTGCTTATCATTACAAACTCAAAATAATTGCTTCTGATTTCAGAGTTCAGGACAGAAGTTTCTAACTCAGGCAACACCAATTAGAGATTTACACCAATGTGTACAATACACATTAGGAAAGTCCATATTCGCAAAACACTGATATGGAACTAAATTCCTCTTTTTAGTTTCTCCTCTCTCCTGATCACATAGGCTCCTCAATGTAACTATATCTGTTGTCACTTTCTAGAAAGAATGATTTCATTTTCCCTCCAATGAATACAATTAATTCCTTGTTTGTATACAAAGAAGTAGATGGCTGCTGAAATTCTGTCTGATGATGATAACAGCAGCTACTATTACAGAGTATTTTACTATGCGACAGATGCAATGCAAGCAGTTTATGTGCATTGCCTCACTTAATCCCTACAGTGATCCTGTCACGGATGCTAAAATTATCCCCATTGTACAGATGGGGAAAATGCTTGTCAAAGAAAATAAGTAACTTGTTAAGGGACACATGATTAAGTCAAAGTAAACAGATTTGAAACAGATTAAAGCATAGATGGAATTCTTAAATTCAGCCTAACAATATAAGAACTAAAAAGAATGAACTAAAATCCCTTTTTGTAGGACACCCATTTACATCTAGAACAGACCAGAACCCAGAAGGCAATAAATACAACCTTCTGAACTGAGTATCACAGGTCTGCATGGTAAAAACGATCAACAAAATCTCGCTGGAGGGAATTTTGAAAGGTAAGCGGGGTGTTGCTAAAAATTCCCATTACTTAGAGGAAGACTATCTGGCTTATTCCAGGTTTTTTTGTAAGATGAATTCTCTATATACAATATTCCAAGTTTCCCATATTTTATTTGCATGTGGTCCATTATTCCATTCACAAAGGACATTTGTATTTAAGTGGATGTTTTCTGGCTAATACTATTAATGGCATTATCCAAATACATTAAAATGGTAAACTAGGTTATTTGAGGGATGAAGTATGAATGATCATAGAGAAGTGAGAAATAGGTAGTATTAAAAAACAAAGTAGTCTACAGCCATGCTACCCTGAACAAACTCGATCCCGTCTGATCTCGGAAGCTAAGCAGGGTCAGGTCTGGTTAGTACTTGGATGGGAGACCAGCTGCTGTAGGCGTAAAAAATAAAAAAAATAAGGGATTTTAAGCCGACAAGGTCCTTGCAATCTGTGAGGTCGCCCAAGGGTTGCCTTGCCTAAAAAAAAAAAAAAAAACCCAAAGCAACTCGGTATAATTTTCATTGTATCTTCTCACATTATTTAATAAGAACATTCCTTATTAAGACATAATTTTGATTTAAGGAAAATTTCAGTCTCTTTAATGAGATCCTTTTTAGGAATCTTTGAGTGCAGTGCAAAGTTGATACTTTAAACTGAATTTCTCTCTATAGTAAGCAATGTTATACAAAAGTTTAATATTTTCTTTATGAAGATTTTCAAGGGATGAAACCTGAAAAGTCCTTCAATTAGCAACTGTGAAAGCACACACCGTATTTCATAGAAAACATGGGAGCTTTTGAATTGCCTTCAATGAAAAGACAGTAAAAATGTATTTCCTGTTCAAAACTACTTAAAATCAACTTCTTTTAAGACTAAACAAGTATACATAAAAGAGGCTGTAGGTTTATAAAGTTCCTTTTAATATCTTTCTGACTGCAAACTTTTGATCTATAAATTTTTTTTATCATCTCAAGATCAAATCTTTTATAAAAGACCAACTATTGGTAACTTAATAAAAATGTCCAATGTCCCACGGACACAGTAATATATAACTACTTAAATATACACAAACTTTTAAAAAGAAAAACACAAATCAAAAGCCCAGAAATTACCAATGATGTGTTCAGTTTCCCTGTCAGATTCTAAGTCCAGTGAGGCTGAGTTACTGGCAGGGTAGCATAGGACACGATTTCAGTTTCATTTCCTCATCTAGCACTGTGCATAAACAAGTCTGGATAAATTTAACCTCTCCGAGCCACAGCTTCCTACTTTCTAAAACTGTGATTCTAACTTTGATATATCACGACAGAGCACCCTATCAGATAATTGCTTCGAGGTCTTCCTGGCTTAAAGATTTAAAAGGCAAGGGTTTTATCTCTCCCTATTTAACTCCTTTTTAATACCTCATTCTGTTTTGTCTACTTGATACAAAGCATTTTCTTTTGCTCTTCCTATCTTAAAAAATATAAAACAGTACTTTTCTCCCATTTCATAAGGCCCTCTAAAGACAAAAAAAAAAAAAAAAAAAAAAGACTCCTTACTAAGTATTCTAAATGTCCAGGTCACAAAATACAAATAAATGCCTTACAGGTAACATACATATATATAAAACTGTATGCTGTGAGATAACATGAAGGAAAAGGGCCTTTGGACACCTAGAACGTACGAATGTTGCCTAAATACATTTAAATTGAAAAACTTTAAAAGTGCTCGCCAGTCTGCAACCCATTCTATATGGCCACTAAATATGGCTTACAAGCCAATAAACTTAAAAGCCCATTTTTCCAAATATAATTTTCTAAGCATAATTTGCATTCCCAGACTAAATATTGTTTTATTTTTTCCTTCAATTTTATTTTATTTCATTTCAGTAATTATTGTCCATTAGAGAAAAACAATTTTCTTGTTCATAGAAATCATTGTTACATGGACAAAATCTACTATTCACCTTTTAGAAAAATGTACAAATAATCAATTTGGGGCAATTATAATCAGCACGTAGAGCACTTAGAAATGGGTTTTGGTTTACTGAAACTAAAAGGCAAAGCTTTTATCTGTATTTCTGACTTTCTGAACTTAATGTCTGCAACCCATTTGCTATGCTCGCTTTTGAGAAAGGAAAAAAATCTTGGACTACCCTCTTCTGGAGACAGATGCTCCTCCACTCAAAGAGATATATCTTTCTGCGGTAGAAAATGTGCAGTCTACATTGTGTTTCAACATTGAATAAGATTTTTTTCAGCCTCGTTCTGTCATTTATATTATGGACACATTCATTATTCAAAAATAAAACTGTGATACACAACTTAGAAATTATATATATACTAAAATTATGATAATCTCCAGAAGGATATGATCACCGCCTTTTGTAAAAAGCACCAATAGGAAATGTTTACTAAAGTGAGCCTTGTAGCAAAGTAAACTTTTAAAGGGACCAATATAACCAACATGTTGAAGTTGCCCAAATATCATGATTGCAATTCTTAAAATAATCACATTAAATGAGCAGAAACTATAAAAAATTGGAACTGCATTGTTGAAAATAATAAAATTCATTTGGATAAAAAAATATATATATTGCTGACTTTTGGGTGGTAACTCGACAAGTTGTATCGCATTACCATGACTTCCTGCTTCCACTTCTGACATGGTTTCCAGGCTTGTCAGGTCTTTATGAAACAGTCGTCTTACAGTTCGGAAGCCTCTTCCGTCTTGCCACCTATATCCATCTTCACTTTCCTGAAAAGAGTCTTTTCTTGGTCGGTTTGTAATAGGAATTCTAGGTCCAGGTTTGAATTCTCTCCAGCTGTCTGAATTACCACCAAGTTCATCAGACAGCCATCTCTTACTTTGATCTTTGTGGTTGTCATTCATCCAAGGAGGCTGGCTGTAAATTGGGTTTTTAAATGCATAGGGATTGCTGGAAACAGCATATGGTCCTTTCCTGGGGGTATTCCCATAGTTCCCTGGTGTTATTTTTTTTTTTGGAAGGCCTTTTTCCATTTTACTGCTATGGCCTTTAGCATAATCATCCATTATTAAATAATCTTGTTGGGGGTGACCCCTTCTGAAATCATCATCATCTGTAGTCCCTCGGTCTTTAACACGCTTTACAAAATAAGGTTTTGCTGCATCTCCCATGGTCTTTGACTTCAATTTTTCTTACTCTGTACCTGAAAGAAAAGTATTCTGGTGAAAAATCAAACTATAACAAGTTATCACACCAAGTCTAAAAATACCACAGATGTGCAAAAGCCTATGAAAAACTCTTTTCCTAATTTCCATCACATACCAATAATTAGTGCATTACACTAGAGGTTGGGAGGTTAGGTCCTAAAAATAGTCTTCATGAAAATTAGTACTTACTATTTAACATGAAGATTAAATGTGTGAATAAAGGAAGTTCCCCAGTCTCAAGAACTGTAGTATAAAATAACGATGCTCATATCCAGTGATTGGCTTTTATCTATATGACAAAAGCGCTTCTCTTAAAAAAAAACCACTACCCTAATCCCAAGCCTATACTGTTACAAAACTTCTTTTTTTTTTTTTAGATGGCAATTATTTTTAAGCGTTAATACAAAGTAACCAAAACTTTCTCTGAACATAGTAGATCTCAAAACTCTGCTTTTGTGTCCCTTCTCATCCTGGGGCCTCTGCTCCTTTCACCACTACCGTTCAGAACGACAGGCTTCGATCGCTTGGGCTACAGAGGGGCTGGGCTCGCGACCAAGGCTCTGTAGTCAAAGGGGCTGGGTTTCCGACCAATGGACAACTACAGCTACCCTCCCTAGCCCTCATTCTCCAATCCCAAATAAGTTTGGTTTTGTTATGAATAGCAATTTCCCCTTTTTGATCCTCATCTGATTGCCCATCCCCGATCTGCCTCAGTTTCCATCTTCGAGGTCGGAGGCGGAGAAAAACAAGGCGTCCCCGTACTCCCGGCCACGAAGCCACCGCGGGGACCAGGAAGCAGGAAGTGACCTACCTCCTCGATGGGGTTCTGAGGTCCCTCCAGCCGGCCAGAGGGCCAGGGCCAATTGCCTCCACCCAAAACCCTTCTTCTCCTGCCCTCGCAAGGTCTGACACAAAGTGAAGATGCAGACTCGAAGCCAAGAGCTCAGTCCGGCAGGCCTGGGGACTCCCCGGTCCTCACAATTGGGGCAAGAAGGCCGGCGGAGGATGGAGCCAACGTAACTCTCAGGACAGGTCCGCCCTCTACTCTGGAAACTGGCGAGCGCACCGGAGACCCACCCCGGAGGCGAATCTGGGAGGGACGCGGGGAGAAAACACTCCAAACACTCACCACCTCCACCGCGGTCCTCCGCCTCTTTCTGTCCCGGCTGGGCTCCCTCTCCGTGTTTTCCTTCGGCCCCACTTCCGGCGCTCAGCGCTGTCTCATTGTGCGCGATTGGGAGCCGGCGGTGCCCCCGCTGGAGCGCTCCGCCGCGCACGCCGGAAACGCGAGCCCCGCCCGGCGGGCCGCCTACCGCCCCGCCCTGCCTCCACAGCGCCCCGCCCACTTCCGCCGCCGTCGCCAACACGCTCGCGCCCTCCAGAGGTCTGGCGTCGAATCCCGCCAGGGTTCTGTTCCTGCTGGCTCCAGTTCGTTTCCTAGGCTCCGAAAGCATCGGGGAGTCTTGGGGAGGAACCCTCTGTTTTCCAAGAGAGACGCAGAGCTCGCGGTTGGGGCGCAGCCGCGTGCTGGGGTAGGCTCAGAGGCTCGGCTTTGCCCTGGATGTTCCTGGTCCCGTCTAGGACTAGTTAAGTCTGAGTCTGAGGCTTCCAAGCTCTCTTTGCTAGTTCTTTTGTAGTTCTGAGTGATTTAACATCTCATTGAGTTCTTAAGTTGCTTCTCCTCTAGAAATGCCAGCTTTTACGCATCCCGTGTTCAATACCCAGCTCTCAGTGTGGTCAAGGGAAATGCTATGCTTTTTTCTTAGATTGTGTATTTTATTTAAAATGCAACCGTGTTTTAAAGATGAATTGCAAAGAAAAGTCAGGGAGCGTCATACTCGAATTTTTGAACGAAGAATGCACACTTGGAAGTAGCAAACGTTCTAGAGCGTTGAGAAAATGTGACCGTTTTGATTTCTCTACTTTTGAAGAGAATTTAAATTTAAATTTACGAGATTCTGAGGGGCAGTGGTCTTAAAAATAATTATGAACACATAAGTACTGGCTATTACCAGGCACTGTTCTGAGGACTTTACAAATATTGTCATTTAATACAACAACACCACTAGGAAAATATCCCCACTTTAAAGATGAGGAAATAGCATTTATGGTGAAGTAAATGGCACCACTGGAATCCAAACCCTAATGTTGCAAGTCTGTTCTAACAATGTCTATACTAATGGTGTTTTAAAACATGTTGCTACAACTTTTGTGTAATGTCATATCTAGATGCTTTGGTTCTGAAAATACATGAAAACCCCAAAATCTGTTTTCACAGGCAGATGATGAACCATAATAGAGTCCAAAGGGAGCGTGGCGATACATGATTACATTTATTATGGGATAGCAGCATTGACACATCCAGTAGAGTAATTCTTAAACAGAAGATGTAGTTTAGGAAAAGTTCTAGAGGAGCAGGTGAAGATACATCTTTTTAAGGATTTAAAACATTTTTTATTTGCATTTTTTCAGTGTGTTTTTCAAAGCTTAACTTCAGTTACAAACTTGCTTTTTAGATTGTTTACAAGAAAGACTAAAAATGGAGTCACTTGTGCTAAACCCTACCAAGACTTAATACCTAACCTAATTATAGTTTTGACCTCTCTCAGGAGTGGATTTTTAATCCAGTCAGTCTGGAATTTCCTAATTAACACTAGTAAGATAATATGCTTGATAAGACCCACTGCCTTCCCCTAAGGGAAGATGACGTTGCTTGAAATAATCCACTATTTTAACTTTCTTGTCCTCCCTCTTTCTGCTTATAAAAACCTTTCATTTTGTACAACTCCTTGCAGTGTCCTTTTAGTTCCCAGATGGGATGCTTCCTGATTCATGAATCGTTTCAAAAAGCCAATTAGGTTTTCAAGTTTACTTGGTTGAATTTTGTTCTTTAACGCATACCCCAAAGAGCTACTGTTCCTTTTTGAATTCTCCCTCTGAGACCCTTTTCTGAAACTGGGACTAAGTGGTCTCCGGTTCTGCTTCTACTTTGCTTTGATCTTCCCTCCTGGGCCTCAGTTTCTCTAACTGTAAGCGAAAGACAAAGAATGTGAAACCAAAAGTGTACTATTCTTGACTGATTATGAACAGTTCAATTCTAGTCATTGAGTAACTTATTTTGGGGTGTGAATTTTTATGTTTACAATTTTTTAAATAAATTTACAATTACTTGTTTTTATTGATTATTTTAAATCTAAATTAAAAATGAAATTTTATGTATTTTGGGTTTTTTATGTTTAGATTTATCTTCTATTTGTGGTTCTAAATTTCTCTTTGTAATTGTGCTATAAACTTAAAAAATATACAGATTTAAAAAATCAAATCTATTTAAAGAAAATTATTAAAAATATTGAGAGATGGAAAAAATGAAGATGATATTCATATGACTGAACTTTGAGAAGCCTTAGACCTAAAGGAGAGAAGAGAAAATGCCCAGGGTTAAACATAGGCTGCCCAACGTTTAATCATTAAGGAAAATAAGAGAAGCCAATAAAGAAGACCAAAAAAGGAGGGAATTCAGTGCTAAGAAGGACTTTAAGAGAGTATAGCATGTAAATCTTTTTGCTGAGGTGCTCTGGTGTCATGAATGCCAAATGTACCAAAAATGCTACTCAAGACATCCAGGGATTCGCTTGGGAGGGGAGGGTCCCCAGCCAGCCTAGGTGAAGGCATTTAACTAATGACATTAACACAGTGACTAAAATTCCCAGGAGCGATCCCTGTTAACCATCATCTGTTGTTTTAGAACTATTCTCTGCTGGGCCAAAGAGGTGGAAGTTGAGAAGGGAATGGGAAAAGTGAAGTATTTAGAAATTAGACATGATAGGAGTGGAGGAAAGCTTTGAAATTCAGTGAGAGAAAATCGAGTCTAAATTAAGGGTTATACCAACTGTATATAAGGAGAAAATATGGCTTGAAGAAGAATAGTCTTCATTAAAGAAAATAGAGTAGAATTTGATTAAATAAAAATAGTACACAAAACTATAAATGGCCCTAACCTTGAACTGTTCTGGTGTTTCTGAACTGGTATGCTTTATACCCTGGATGTGGAACAGGCCAAAGTGTCTCCCAGGGTAGGACTACCAGATAAAACAGTGTGTCCCAGGCAATATTTGGGACATATTTACACTAAAAAAACTGTTTACCTGAAATTCAAATTAAACCAGGCATCCTATATTTAATTAATTAATTAATTAATTTTCTTGCCTAAATTGGCTAGCTCCAATATCTCCTGGAGCCTTTATGCACTCTTTGTAAGGATCCACTCAGTCGAAGATTATTTGCTGGTTCTGATTGTCATGCTGTCTTCTTGCAGTGACCATATAAAAAGCTCCCTTTCTCCCTTGTCTCCCATGTCATGTTAAAGAATATCAAATCTACGGAAAGTTTGCAAGAAATATACAATGAGTATATACTATTTATAACTCACCATTAACATTTTGTCATATTTTTTTTTCTTTTCCTCCCTCTTCCTCTCTTTGTGCATGTGTGTATTCTTTAGTTGGACCGTTTAAGAGTTAGTTGCAGACATCTAGACATCTAAACCCCCAAACCCTCAGCAAGTATTTCTCAAAAATGAGAATATTTTCCTGTATAACCACAATGCAATTACCACACTTAAGACATTTGGCCATTTAATAGTGACAAAATACTATTTTCTAATATGTAGTCCATATATAAATTTCTGCAATTGTCCCAGTAATACTTTTAGTATACTTTTTAATTTAGCACATTTTATTCATTATTTGAGCTAGAATCATGCATTGCATTCATTTTCATGTATTTTTAGTGTTCTTTAATGTAACACAGGCTGCTAATCTTTTTTTTTTCATTCATGATGTTGACATTTTTTAAGGGTTTAGGCCCATACTTTTGCAGTTGTCTAATTGTTTCCCCATGGTTAGACTTAAGCTAGACATTTTTTGGCAGGAATATTACATAGGTGATATTGTAGCACACATCTCAGTGTGTCACCACAAAGGATATATGATGTGAATATGTTTTTTAAATGATAAGTTTGGTCATTTATTTAGGTATTATCTACCATATTTCTCCATTATAAAGATTCCTGTTTCTCTTAGAAATTAATAAGTAAATTGTGATGTAATACTTTGGGCTATGTGACTGTTCTGTTCCCTCATCTTTCTCCCAATGGTTTTAGTATCTATTGATAATTTTCTCCTTAAATCAAATATTCCTGTGGTAGTTGTGAAATGGTAATTTTCTATTTCTGTCATCCCCTATATGTTTATTAGTTGGCAGCCTTCTATAAAGGTGGGCTTTTATTTCTCCTAATTCCTTTGAAATTTCTTTATAATAGCATGGACTCATGGATTCTATTTTATTAACTGTGTTATAATTCATTCCTGTCATGATCTGTTTTGATGCTCAAATTGTCCCAGATTTGGCAAGTGGCAAACCCCTTAAACCGGTTCTTATATTTTCTTGATGTATCTTCCTCAGTTTAGAGCACTTATTTTCTGGCACAAGATGTTTCAGGTTCACCTTGAAATTAGGCATTTTCCCATAGGGTTTCCCATAAGGTTTCCCATAGGGTTTTGTGTTTGGAAAGCAAGACCTGGGTGCCATGTGTGCACATTGTTCTGAGCTGTTAGTTCCTCTCAATGGATAGAACTAGTAAACATGTTTTAAAAATCATGAATTCATAATGACGCCTCTAATTGATACTCAGTTCAATAGAATAGGATTCTTCTTCTCATTCTGCCATTCCATATTTCTCCTTTGTTACCCCACAATGAACTCCCTGCTT